TAATAAAATTGAAAAATACCGGTGAAAGCCGTGTATAAAAGTTCATGAGGATGCATTATCTTTGATTTATATTGAAATGCATCGCTAGTTTTATAGCGAATTTTTCATTAAGATTTTCGAAAAAGTCCGTTTAGAGAAAACCCCGTTAAGTGTGACTCCCTTCAGTGTTTCTCTTAACGGGCTTCCACTGTACCTACATTGACTACGTTAGAGTTTGAAAATTTAAGTCGTCATTTTATAAGATCATTGTCACCTAAGCATTGTCTGATGATGCGAAAAATATTCACAATACAAGTTGTGCGTGCGTTGACTGCTTATGCAAATATATTTTGATCACCAAATTACGTTTGCAAGCATAATTTCTGTTATTTAATATATTGATACATCAACTGTTCACAGCTTTCTCTCGTCGCACAATATTTACATACTCAACTCACTTGACTTGCAACCTTATTATTATGATAAATTCGAAGAGTTAGTCTTCGTGTTCAATCGCATTTTACAAATGTAGCAACAAATTTCAATCTAAGACAACAATACTTATAAGTTATAAAGACTGTTATTTTTTTACTTTCTGTATGCTTTTCATAAAGTTAAACTGTAACTAAATTTTTAACTTTTTAATAAAAACTAAATTTTACGGAATTTAATACTGAAAAGTTTCAAAATAAAACTTTCATTTAAAGGGAATTGACTGAAATCATTTGGCAGGACTTTATTAAAACAGCGGTAAAGTTGGAATAAATTCTTTTCCCACCATTCATTAAAGTTTTTGGAAAGCACACTGAATTGTTTTGTATCAAAGTTGTGACAACCTCGAAAAAGTTGAAAATATCCTCAGATAACTTTTTATATTAAAATACCCTCTTGATTGAAAAAGTTTATGTAAGAGATTGATGAATATTTAAAACTATGAAGCTATCAAATTTTGATATTTTTTAACACAGATGAATCGAACTTCACGCTCATTATTTATTATTTTATTTTGTCGTTAACGTTTTCCCTACGGAATTGTTTCTAGGGGATTTAATGTTTTTAATTAATTAATTATTTGTATAAAATTAAAAAAAAATACATTAAAATTGTCTTTTTAACTTTTGTTTAATCCTTCAACACATTCATGGATTAATATTTATCAAAGGTTTCGTAATAATCGTAAATGTTAATTAAATTTCTTCTAATTTAGATTTTTTGTTGATTAGAAATTATGACATGTATGAATGATAACTTTTAATCATGTTTATATTAAAATAATTGATCATTACTAATAAATTAAAATCCATCAGCCGGTTTGCTTAGACCATCTTTGTTCAGAGCTTAATAGCTTCCTTATTTTGGACCGTTTTTATTCTGTGACCAGTTAATAAAACTTCACATTCCGCAATCGAAAATCGTCTTCTAACCTTCAAAAAGCTTAACCATCGCAATTGCTGCAAAGACGATTGCGCATTCTTTATACTAAATAAGTATTTTAAAGCTTACCTTCATATTTAAAGTCGATTCAATGGTCAAGCTCATCAATAATAATGAAAGGAATTTCATTACGAAACTTATGCCCATATCTTTTAAATGATTTATGGTTACACTATTTTATAAATGCATACACCTGTAGGACTCGTCAACAATTATCACAATCGATACAATAATTTTAAATGAAAAAGCTGATTTTTTGAAAGACGTTGATTCAGAGACTATCCCGCTATTTAAAACTCTTTCAGAGAATGCGTTTTCTCTAGCTTAATAACATAAGAACTAATACCAACAAATATCAAAATTATTAATGACAATCATTTTATTTAATAGCAATGTAAATAAATATAAACCTTGACCGCTTTATCAGCTTTGCTCTTGAATTGCAACGATCAAAGAAAAAAAAAATTCATTGATACACTTTTGTGACCTATTTGCACATCAATGAATACTAATCAGAGTTCATATATTTTCTTTAATTCAGCTGCAGAATGTGGTTGAAAGTGTACATCTTTATTAGTTTTTCGGTACTTTGCTTGTCAACAAAGTTTGATTACGATTATAATGAGCTTGATTTGTACTGCAATTTTGAACAATTGAATGAAAAGTGAGTATTAATCTTTAAAAATGTTAACTAAAAAATAATATGACTGATTTTATTAGCTATGGCTGCAGTGTGAAGAATCTTATTGTAACATCACGAGACACTCACATCATGGAAGTATCAGGAAATCATAAATACGACCGAACCAATAATGATGTCACTACATTTTATGCTTACAATCCACCTTTGAAATACATTCCTAAACAACTAGGCTTTATTTTCTCAAATTTGAAAACAATTTTTATAACAAAATCAAGTTTAAGTTTAATTGAGTTTCGAGATTTTCAAAACATGAAGAAATTACAGAAACTTTATTTGCCAGAAAATCAAATTGAAAAAGTTCCATTTTGTGTGTTTAAATATGTTAAAAATTTGGAAGTTATAGACCTAAGCGGCAATCAAATAAAAGCTTTACATGAGGATACTTTCACTAATCTACCTAATTTACTACAGTTCATCTGCGGTGACAATGACATTGAACATCTAGAAAATGGCTTGTTTCGAAACAATTTCAACTTGAAAAGGGTGCACATGCAAGAGAACCAACTTAAAACCATTGAAATAAACTTTATGAAGATCAAGGGCATAGAAGTTGTAGACTTGAGGTTCAATCCATGTATAAATTTAAGTTTCGGATGCTGCAAAGGAATTCCATTGCGAGATTTTCAAAATCAAACATCAGGAAATTGTAATGGACCAGAAGTATGTTAATAAATGATTAACGACAGTTTGTAAATCTTTGTGACATACTGCGTGATTATTAATAACCAATGAATAAAATGTATAAAAGAACTGACAAAGACAAGTTTTTCCTTAAAATTTTAGTTAAGAAACCGATTGAATTCAATGTTTGATGTCTTATCCATCTTTCTTGGAGATAAAATGACAATTCGATTTTGTTCTTCCAATCAATCTTTGAATCAGCAATCATTCGTAAATAAACAATAAAAACAAAAGCTTATTCCAAGCCGTTTTCAATCTTCTTGTTTGATTTATAATTCATTAATAACTTTTCATTGATCATTTGTTATGTCATAACACTAAACAAATTAAATAATTTTCAAAACAGTCATGAACAATAAAACCAAAGTTTATCTAAAGTAGGTGATTGATCTATTCATACTATTCGAGTCTCTAGTTAATTAGAAATTAATTTGCTGCTTCTCACATCATGTGCTTCAGTCTATTATTATAACTTTTTATTGATAAAATTAATCATTCGGAAGTTACATTTATGTATCTGCAATAATTTAGAAGATGTGAACAAAGCTTCTGTCATTGTGAAAACGTCAAATTGATTGAGGAAATCTCATGAGTACGATTAAAATTAGTTAATCTATGACTTTAAAGTTATTTTCAATAAATAATTACGCAAAAGCGATTACGCAATTTAAATTTCTGGTTTGAACCAGTAAATGGAATTACATTTACAAAAGGTTAAAGCAGCTTGTTCTAATCGAGAATGCTGAACGTGCCGTCGTCGTGCATGTTATTTTATTCTGTTTAGAAGTCTTACTTCATAGTAAGAATAAGACAATCGAATATCTTACATCAGACTTTTATCCAAAATTACTAATTGGTGAACACATACCCAGGAAAATTTTTTTGAATTCCAGAAAAGACAAATTATGAATGCTTAATTCTAATCACCTCAACTTTTTTAAATAATCATTCGGGTTTCCACAAGAACAAGAATGGATAGAACTTTGATTAATGCCTCTCTCCTTTATTTGGTAAAATTTATTCTTTTTTACAGATAGAAATGGTTGGACATCTGACAATGTTCGAAAGAATATCTTTTGATAAAATTATTTAGGAAAAATAATGTCATCGATATGACCATCGATATTTATACGTTTTGCATCATAGTTGGTGTAATCAGAAATTAAAGATATTTTTAATAAAATTCACAACATTTGACGCTTAGATGGTAATCAAATTGATGGATTCCTGAACGCTTGAGTTTCATAGAACATGAAAAGCTGCAGCAAAATAAGAATTTCAAATGGTTAAATTACTATTGTTCTTGGAATAAAAATTAATTAAATGCCGAGTGTCGAGAACTCTAAATGTCTGGAAAATGAGATAACCTATTGAACGATTCACTTACTTTACCGAAAACATACAACATTGAACCAAATTTCCTACCGCCCAACCACAATTTTCTTCACCATAAATATTTTTGATTTACCGTGACAGCTTAAGGCCAAAACAATTTGCGTAAAAATTTGTGTGGTAATTTTAGTGTGATTTTTATCGTTTGACAAGTTTTTTTCTTCTTTAAACCACTCCTTATAGGCCTCTTGAAAAAGCTAGTAAAAGCTGGATGTATAAATATGTAAGAGTCTTCTGAAGCAGATATTAAGAGTTTAATTTTTTTTTATATTTTCCCATGAACTTATTGAAGTGATGATGCCGCAAGTAAATTAACCAAAAGGGTAAAATAATTATCAGAAGTTCGTCAATTTAGCAGAAGAGCTATGAAACTAAATTAAATTATTTACTTCAAAATTAATAGCAAAAAACCATGGCATCTAATAGTAGTTAATTAAAAGTAATAATTGAAATTCCTGCCTACATTCAAAGGCAGTTTACATTCAGAAGTTCCGTGATTCGCATATTATTTCAATATAAAAATGTCTGTGCCATGGAAATGATGCGTTTTGGAACAAATATTTAAAAAAGTTTCGACCGTGATAAAATATGCAGAGAAGCAATTGGTTTAATATCTAACACAATGCAATTTGATTGTTTTTCAACTTCATAAACAATGAAAGCATTGTATACAAAGATAAAAAGCAATTTCTAGACTTTTATTGGAATAGATTTCATAATTCTGCTTTTCACATTAAATTTTGTCATGTTTCCTTGCCAACACAAAATAAAGACATAAATATTTGTGACCATGGTGACATCGCTTAGATTTTTCACAATTTTTATTTACATAATTAAGGTATTGTCTGGAAAGCGTAGCAGTAATTAAATTTTGCATCGTCATGCCTCGAAAAAAGCCAACATTACAGCTGGGAGTCTACGGTTCATTCGACATAAATCCGGAAAAAGCTGTAACATCGTACTTTGAATCTAAATTGCAAACTGATCTCATTTTGTGAGTTTTGATGAGAAAAAAATAAATGAAAATTGTTTGATGTGTAGAACGTACTTAAAGATTTTCTTATTTCAATTACAGTAAAAAACCCTGCTGGGATGTTCCACGTGAAGGTCTTCAACATGAAGCTCTTGAAAATGAACGTAAATTCATTGAATTGTCTACTCAGCAAGAAGTTTTTCAGAAAAAAGCCGCCATTCAGAAAAAAATAAACGAGAAAAAAATTGATGATATGCATGATACGCAGTTACAGCTGAGAGATAAATTCATCAAAGTCAATGATTTCATTAAAGAATGTGTTGAGAAAACTGTTCGAACAGAAACACAAATTGAAAAAGAGTTAAAACAGCAAAAGATGCTCAATGAGGAAATAAAAGAAATTTCGAGTGATCTGAATGAATTGCTTACGTTTGAAGAGAAGTTTAAAGGAGTAATTAAAGAACTTCAGCATTATGAAAACGTTTTCAATGAAGTCATTGAAACTTCCGGAACTTATGAATCATTTGAAGACCTTATGAGTCGCAGTGATGCATTAAGTAAAAGTGAAATTTTAATTCAATTCTTATTTCACAAATTACTTTGTTTTCTTCTTTTTTTAGTGCTTGCACAGGTCGAAATTGCTGAACGTGAACAAGAGCTTATTAAAGACATCGAGTTGATCAGACAAAAGATTTTGAAATCTACATTTGAAGCATCTCAAAAGATCATTGAACTAAATACTGAGTTGGCTAGGATTGAGGTAAGAAAATTTATAAAATGTCGTTAAATCAAACAATGATAGAAGTTGTGTAGTGCAAGCAAACATTTCATACATTGTTATTATAAAATTACTTTTTATTATTATTATAGAGAACTTATAATAATGCGAAAGCTGAAGCGATGAAATGGGAAATAACTTTATCGAGAACCAAAGACTACATTGCAGACAATGAGAAGGAAACCATCACTCTTATGGATTCAATACAACATTTATATCAGTTGTTGGCTGAGAGAAACGATGAAAAGGTTAAACTGAAGAAATATGACATTTCTGGCCAGCTCGATTACATTCATGAAGAAATTGAAGTCCTTGAAGACATTATCAAGCGTGCTCATCATAAAATGGCTAAAGAGGGTATGAGTTTACTTGGCGAAGGCACGAATCGATTCTTAAATCCTGACAAAGAAACAAATTTGTCAAATTAACTTTTTAATGATTCCATAGTGTTTTTAATCAGATTACAGATAGGATTAATGTAAGAAGCGATAAGTAAGCAATATTAAAACATTTCAATCTCATAACATGGCTTTTGCACCTGATGATCGACTTTGTTTGTAAAACATTTTCTTTAGTTTCTTTTTGCATCAGTTTGCAATTTTATCATTGACATTTAAGAACCTTTGCTTAATATCGCAATTTGTTCGCTTAAGCTCTGTGTAAAAGAAATTGCGAGAGTTTTAAACCTTAATAAAAGTTTATTAATACATTCTTAGCTTCTCTTTCTTGTTTTGTCAGTTTTTTCCGTAATATTTTTTAAGATTCTTTGTCTATAGACTCGAGGAAATTTTCAATTGTAATGTGTCTACTCGTAAAAGATTATTGCGAAAAAATCAATTTATGTGGGTGTGTGAGATATTTCAGATATACTTTCGATTGAATCAATCCTTGTTTGTCGATCAATCGGCGGCTGTCAACAAACACAATTGATTGTTATCCAAATATGAAATGATTGTTAGTTCTGTTCGGCAACTTTCATTTGAATCCAAATGAATTCATTGATGTCTGCAATCATTAATGAATTCAATGGGACGTTTTCAAACATTACCATCGCAATCAACTATTTTCTTAATTTTAGCTTCTGAAATAACAAGTTCAACTCATAGGAGTTGCTGAAGTGAACTTTACATTAGTAGATTAAACGATAATCATCCACTTAAAAATGTTTTTTTTTGGTGGTTACACTACTCAACATTGACTTTTGACTTGAAAACTTAATAGAAGGCAATTGAATTTGCAAGATATTTTGATTGTTTTACCTTCACGTCACTTGCACAACCAAAATATTGTGAAAATCTACAATCCATTAATCTCTGTAATCGTCAAACACCGACTAGGTTTGGACAAAGAAATTGAAAAAACAAATGAACTTTATTCTTAAATGTTTATGATTTTGTTGTTGAAGAAAAAGAATGCGGTTTTAGTTTAATGAGTCAATAGAAAACAAGGTCGCGGAATGATGTCTCTCGTGCAATAAAATTTTCAAACATTAAACAGGCTTATATGGAAGATGCAAACGTTATTCAACTTTCAATTTAAAAATATAAAGTGAGATATGGACAAGCGTTTAAAACTCTTTAATTAAATCTACACCTGCCTTCTGAATAGTCTCTGTACACTGAATCAACATGCTCTGATTCGACACTTTGAAGATTGTCTGTGTCTGGTTCATCTTCGTCATTTTCCCTTTGCGCTGAGTGCTTATTTCTGATTGATGGATTGGCCCGCGATTCAGGTGGCAATATTTCATCAATTGTCGGTGCTGGCTTTGGCTTTCTGTTTGGAAAGAATTTCCGCTCGAAAAAATTTGTCAAAATCTGTTCGGTAATTCGATTCTGTCTTTGGAGCTCGTGATGCTCGTCGTGCCCTACAAATACATGGAAGTGGAAATGAGTTTTATGAAGTTTGAGAAGAAGTAAAAAAAAAAGACTTTTGTAATATCTGAGACAAATTTAAAAGAAACAATTATAATGACTTATAATGGAAATCTCAATGTGTATACATGAAAATGCCCTAAGAAAGCGATTAAGAGAAAATAAGTTACTTTTACTATTTCAAAGTATTTAGACATATCTACAGTAAATGAAAAATTCGCTTAAATCTTACATCAGTTGAAAGTTGTGAAAGCAACATTTCACAGACAGCATTTCTTGCAATATTTTTATGTGCATATAAGTCGAAAATGTAATAAAAAAAGAGACTTTAAGAAGAGCCAAGCAAGCAGCAGTTGAAGTCAAATATCAGAGAACCGCACACATCAGCGATTTAAACACGAAGTATTTTCTTTTCCTTTTGATCGAAACCATGTACCGTGATTCGACAAAAAATAAATCTAAAATCTAAAGCGAGAAAAGCTACTGCTGATCACATTTCATCAACATTTTCTTTATTGCTGTAATTTCCCTTTCTCATGTCAACAGTTTTCTTGCCTTTCTACGTATTTCTGTTCAAGTTTATGTGTGTCTTGTGATTTCGTTGTATGAATTCGTAGGCTTCATGCATGAATAAGCAGTAATTTTATCTTGTTTTTCACAACTTTAAATTGTCATCCAAATCTTTAGATATGTTTTTGTTTGGTTTTAATGTAGACATCCAACAAGTTTATCATAAAAATAAGTTGTCAGCCCGTTCAAGCCAAACATTCGATCTCGTTTCAACAGATTCAAACTTCTTTTGTTGTCAAGCAATGATTTTTTTTTTAAAACACAATTACTTGACGACGTAATTTATTTTGTTAATAAAAAGTTTACTATGTTGCCATCAAGCCATGTGACGTTTCCAGTCCAATAAAGTGTAGTGAAAGTATTACATAAAATTGACGTCCAACACAGGTTGCCACGGAATTTCCATTTGATTCACATAAGCATCAACTGACTGTGACGACAGATTCAACATTGAAATTTCAAGGATCAAATAATGATAACCGTAAATTAATTTATCACAATTTCAACCTTCCTTTTGCTTATATTCAAATTTTAGTGTCCTTATTGAATACCGCAGAGTGGTTTGATTGTTGAATTTTCAACGCATGCATCATGAGTGAGCTGTGAGATACATAACGAAAATTATTGTAAAGTGATGTAATCAATACCATAATGAAAACATCTCACTTCCATATAAAACATTTCTCTCAATCACAAAAAAAAATATTAAAAAATGCGCATTTGTAATGAAGTACATATTAGCATGATTACTTCACCAACGCTTGTTGATCATCAATATCATCAGTATCGATGTGTATAGAGAAGCAATACAAGGCTCTAGCAGTTGGTGATTAATCATTAGAAACTTTAGTTCCTCTTCTTTCGATAATTACATATTTGAAGAGATTAATCATATTGAAAGTAATCCAATTATGTACTAAAATCAATTATCCATATCAATTTTGCGACAATTCAAACTAATAAAAACAAATGTTAATGGCAATGTGGATTGATTCTGTCTCCAGAACATTTTTTAATTAAAAATCGTCATCAAATTACATAGAATCGTGAATTATGTCATTCCAATTCGTCCTTAGACTAACATTAAGGGTTCGAATACATAATTAATTTAACGGATTGGATTGTCAGATAAAATTTTTATATCTTTTAGTAACACTAAGCATGTTCCACAAATTTTCAGTAACTCACTAATCATAAAGGTAATTTCATAGCTTCTTATTTTATTTCTGTAAAGGAAATAGAATCATTTTCGTTTTCCTTTAATTTAAAGACAGCAAATATCATTTTTCTTCTACTGTCGTCATATCTGATGGAAGATTGTTCACAATTTTTTTTGGAAACGTGACATGCTTTGAAGATGAGAGTTCTTAAATTCAGCGTTCATGTGACCATGAAATATTAGAATGCTGCATGAATCTTGATCTAATTATTGATGCTTCATATAATCTGCACAATATTATCGGCAATTTTCTTATTAAATATGCACATTGTTTGAAAAGTGAGAGAGGAGAAAATTAATGAATATTCATTTTAAAGTATCTTGAAGAGATTCTTGAAAAGTATTTCAAGATGAAATAAAAAGAAACAACACAATAAAAAATTTTGAAGTATTGCACTGTGCGATGTAGATCTTTGACTTGTAGATATCTGATCATCATTTCACAATTGTTTACCTGTCATTGAAGAAGAAACAAAGAGAGACATGTTGGTGTAAAATGAATGGAAACAAAAACCTGAAATGCAACTAGTTGTACGAACATTTCAACTTGATTTCAAATATATGGTCAATAAACTTGAAGTATAAAGAAGCGATTGAAATACAAACATTACTTTACATTCTTTCAACCATTCTGATGCTTCATTACATTTGCATTATGTGCCCAGAAGACTCTTTTCCCCGCTCTATTTATTAACATGCTGTACAATCTTATTCTATTAAATTAAATTTATTTCATATTCTCATGAAAACATGTTGAATATCGCATCAAGATTTACAACCAATTAAGTAAAAACATTGAAAATATTTGCAACAAGCCATTGCAGAAATTTCTTTGAATATCCTCTTGTGAGATGTGATTCAACATTGTTATACATTAATCAAATAGCATTACACAACGTCCACATGGTATTTGAGTGTTTAAGTTGAATACAATTTTGTTTATTTTTTAAGCATCTAACTGTTTCCTTTGATTGTTTGAAATACTTAACATAACAATACAATGGATTGTTAGTAATTACATCACATCATAAAGCAATTTTTTTTCTAATCAATAAATCATTTTCTGTTCTTTTTTATCTAACTTTATTAATGAAAAATTAATTTACTGGTAGAACTAAATTGTCTTAATGCAGATATGATAATTCATAAAAGAAATTTTATTTGAATCATTTTTTCTATGAAGAAATAATTTAATTAAGCAATAAAATGTATTTGCAAAAAGCTTAACGTGGTTTATAGATTTGGATCAAGAACATATTTTGAAGCACAAGGTTGAACTGAGTTTAATGAGCTATAATGAAAAACGGCGACTGCTTTGAATTTCTAAAATTTTATTTTCAACTTTATTTAAGGAGGGATGACCAAAATTATTTTGAAAACAATTTCAATCATTGGAACTTTTCTCAAGTCGCTCTAGCAACTTCATTTTTAGTTTGAACTTTATCGGTTTGAAGGATATTTCTGGTTTGAGAAGTCATTAATAATAATTTGGTATAATTTGCTCAACATTTATAAAACTCTTCAAAGAAAAAAAGTTGATGGATAAGACAGGGTTCATTTAAAGGTTTTCTGATTAACTCTTCACTCATCTGTTAAACGCAAAAGTACTATTTAACAACATCAGGAACCTAGATATGCAACCTTTCCATTCATTTGAAGCATGAAAAAAATCACAAACCACAAATGAAAATTGAAACTTATAATTAATCTTGATTCATTCAAGGTATATTGTTCGAATTCAACCAAATTTTCTCAATATGTAGACCCAGTACCATTGGACCTAAACAATTGAACGATGCGGACATAAACCATCATCTTTTTTTCTGATTTATTGTCGGAACAGTGCGTACTCATTAAATATAAAATTGAGAGTGAATGTAGAATGTCAAGGCTGTGAATAAAATTGTATGCTTGCATCCGTTTAATTGAAGAAGCTCCATTACCATTGTGCTTGGTAATTTTTTCCTCACTAATTCAAATATTTATAAACGTTAAGTATTTAATGAAGTTTAGTAATGTTTATAATTATTTTCTCAAAAGGTTAAAAGTTCTATCATAATGCAGCATTGAAACGAAAGTAAACAAAAAGTTTTTATACATGTCTGGCCAAAGATTCAGGTTTGCTTTCTTTTATACAAATCGGGGTTATTGGCATTGAAAGTGAATGTAGTTTTTCCGGAATTCACGCGACACTATCATTAATACTTTAATCTAAGTATAAGAGCCACAGGATTATATGAATTCAATACGCTCCAAAGTGTGAATTTAACAAGCTCGCACCTGACATGATCACACAATAGAAATTATGAGAAACATGTCTTAAGCTTTAGAGCAAGATAGAAATATGTAGAAATAGAGAAAAAGAAGGTTTTAAAGCTAAAAATAGCCGCATAAATAAAATATTTGAAATATCTTCTCATCTTCATACCTGAATTTGTGTGAGAATTCCAAAACAAAAATTTGTGACCTCATAATTCATGATACATTTTGATATAATTCCACCTGTTTTATAGCGGCATTCATTCGTTAATTTGAATATGTTTTTCATGTTTACATATTGCATGATTTTGTCGCTTCATGTCATAGGTTAAATATTCTTTTATTATGTATTCGGAAATTTTAATGACCCAAACGGGCTTTAAAACTTTCGCTTTTCATTATTGTTATTATTATTATTTAAAGTCGATGAGATGTCCAGTCGCGAGTTTCTATCATTAACATTGTGTTCACGGCCTTTACATAACGTTTGTGGCAATTAATTGACGGCATGAATGATCGTCGGATGCAAATTGTTATAGAAAATATTTATAAAAAAGCATCGTCGTTTTGCAGACATTTTTTTGGAAGTGAAACTATTGGCGCGATAAAGTTTTCAATCATCAAACATGTAAATGAATAATATGTATGAAGATTCCGGAAACTTAATACGACAAATCGTAATTTATCAAATAAATTGATTTCGTTTCATTATCTTTAGATTTCTTTAAAACTTTGTTTCTGAATTCTTGCAAAAATATTAAAAAACGAGAAAATTAGTGAATTTCCATAACTATTGTTTGATTACAAAATATATTTTCAATGACATTAAGGCACACACCAAATAAATGTTCGTATTAATGTAAACTATTGAAGTTTCATTAAATAATTTCATTATGAAAGATTTTACGGAACCGGTGTTTCAAACACCCGATCGTTCAAGGTATGGACTTGAAACATCATTATGCATATCGTGATTTAAGAGTTTGAAAAGTGTTCAAAAGGAGAATCTTAACGGTCATGTAACACCCAAATCAATTTTTGTTAATCTGGATGAACCATTGAAATAGTTGAACCATTATAGAGAATAAAGTCTTGTTAAGTAGCTACAGCATGCAATAACAATGCTCCAATAAATTGCATAATGATATGATTATTGGTTAGCAACTCACCTCTATCTTTAACGACATTTCCATTACGTTGTGTTGTCACCATAGATGCACATAACACGAACACTAGTAGCCGAGCCATATTTTCCTATTTTATGTTGTTAAATATTAACTGTAATGTAATCTTTTGGCTTAACTTCGTCAAAAAATATTAACACTTGTTTCAAGAGGATACAATTCCATTTGACTTTATCTCTTCGCTATTTGAAATGAAACTTTTTGTATTTTTTTCTCCTTTGTTACAAAAATTGCATCACAATTTCGTGAAAACTTTTTTTTTCTTTGACGCAACGTAAACAAGCACTTTAAGATCACGAGGTAATGTTACGCACAACGATATAAAGCAACAATCGACGATGTTCAATTTCGAGAGGCACGTCTAAGTCAGGTAGTTCTAAAGCGGTGTAAGGTCGATCATATACTGAAACAAACAGCTGCGTTGAGTTATTTTTTTTTTCTTCGTTTGTCTTCTTTTCTCTTACGTCTTTTCGTTACAGTCTCATAGCGACTTAACGTAGAGAAAAAAATTCACTGTTAGGCTTTTGAAATATTTTGAATCGTAGCGCACGGTCGGTCCACAATGCATACACTATTTAAAGTGAAACGAAAATGAATAAATCAGTCAACAAAAAAGGTATACAGCAGCAAGTTGGCGAAGTTGTATTAACAATTAAACATGTATTATATCTAGTTGTTTCATTGACTGAATGTGCTCACGAAATTTGTCGAGATGTTTGTTAAGCACAATCCTGAAAAATCCTTAAAAAGACAAAAAAAAATCGCTTCTTATTTCCGACTAGTTTCGGTTACTTCATCATCATCGGAAATTGAAACTTCAAAAACTTTGCTGTGTTAAACATTTAACTGCAAAATAAAATCATGTTCAAATGCTTGTGGAACCGAATGAATGAATTAAATTTTTATTTTTTTTCATTTTCATAGATATCTCACAGACTTTATTAAATTAATAGTATAAGTCGACTATAAGTAACAATTAATAAAAGTACCTATCTTAAGTCAAAAAGAGCAGTAGGATCTTCTATTACACTCAATTATGTTTTGTATTTATAAATTAAATAGACCATTAGTGACATAATCAATACACGTGATGTAAGATCTTTTTCCTATCTGTATATTGATAAAAAAATAGTTCGACAGTAACATTTTCACTTTCGAAGAGATTTTCGTGTTATCCGAGAGAAATTTTATAAGAGTTTATACATACACCACTAAGCAGAAAAAATGTCTTTTTTTATCAAAACAAAAATTATCTATACAAACGCGGTGAGAAACTGGTTTTCCGTTTGCCGATTTGTGTATCAAAACTTTCTTTTCTTCAATAATCCCGATGCAGGGAAAATAAAAACTGTAGCCACTTACAAAACAATCGTAAATAAATATATGTATAACTCAACTCACTCCAATCTACGTCAGATTCGATGATATAAATTAAAAATTCGTCTTAAATTCGTGTCGAATCTCATTGCTGTCTGTCTTAAATTCATTTATTAAAGATCAAGACATGTCCCATGAACTTTCTTTATTTGTCGTTGATATTTCATAAAATATTAACGAATTTTAAAAAATTAAAATATTTTACACATCACTGATGTGTATATTTTGTTTTGACCTAAGGGAAAAAGCTAATTAAATTTCAACTAGGTAGTATTGCTTGTTTGTCACAAATAAAAGAGTTTTCAGACCTTTCATAGCAAATCTAATCTATTTCAATTAAAAAAAAAATCTAAAAATGTACATATCGTAGTTATGATTCATAACAGCGGTTTCATCCCTAATATGAATAGTTTTGGCCAGCCAAATAATTTTTTTTAATAATATTCCGATAAACAGAAGAAGTCAAAATATGAGTGCATTTACAGAACAAGCTCTTATTAAAAAGTTAGCAGATCTCAATTCAAGTTCACAATCAATTCAAACGCTTAGCTTATGGCTAATTCATCATCGTAAACATCACCAAAATATTGTAAAAATTTGGTTCAAAGAATTACAAAAAGGTAAATTGTTTTCATATCAAATAGCTTTTTTCTTATCTTATTACTTATTTCAGCGATTGCAAATAGAAAGCTTGTATTTATGTATCTTGCAAATGATGTTATTCAAAATTCAAAGAAGAAAGGTCCAGAATATACTGAATCGTTCAGCACAATCCTTTCAAAAGCTTTCAAAGATATTTCACAGAAATGCGAGGATGAGAAAACATTTAAAAGTCTCGACAGAATATTAAAAATTTGGGATGAGAGGGGAGTATATGATTCAGAGAAGATAAAAGATTTCAATGCAAATCTCAATGCAAAAGGTAAACTCTCATCCTTAATGTCAAATGAAGCAAAGAATAAAGAAGAAAGTACTTCTTCACGTAAACGAAAAACTGAAGAGCCTTCAACAAGTGCAACTAATGGGAATGATAAAAAGAAATCCAAAGTTCCAACTCCTTCAAAAGCGAAAGTAGTCGAAGTAAATGGAGAAACTCACATAACTTTATCACCTCAGCTTCCTGTAAGTGACCCTCCAGAACCTGAAGAGCTCATAAAAATGCTTCAAGATCTTGAGGAAGCTGCTTCAAGTGACGCTATTACTAGAGAAAGAATAACTCGACTTCCACCAGAAGTCAGTAACCTAGAAGCGCTTTCCAAAATTGAAGACAAAGATGCAGCCATCAAACTTGCAGCAAAAGTTAATGACGCTGTTCAACTATTAAAAGATTATAATACTCGTTTAGCTTCGGAAATGACTGAAAGAAATAAGCTAACTGTAATGTTGAAAGATTTCCAACGTGAACAACAAGAACTTTTAGCACAAGCAGAACAAAGGCTGGAGGTAAATAAAAAAGTTTTTCTTTACTCATTTTAAGCTTACAAAAATATTTCTAGGAGTATACAGCAAAACTTAAGAGGATCAAGGAAGTACAAAATGAAGTGAAGAGTCATTTAGAGAATCTACCCGACATCATCAATCTTCCTGATGTCACTGGAGGTGGTCTTGCTGCTTTACCCTCTGCAGCTGATCTTTTCAATGTTCATCACTAAGATACTGAATCAAGAATGCTCTGCACACAGCTTAGCTTCATTACACAAAAGTTTCAATTGTAATTTAAATATCTTGATGACATTTTCAAAACAAAAAGTCATTTGAAATCAAACAAATCTTATTTTTATTCAAATTTATTCATCACAAATCATCATATTGTGTCATGTGAAGTTAAAACTTAAAGTTGATTGAGTTGAGAAGATAAAAAAATTAATTGTTTATATAATTTGCTGGCCCTTGCCATTGTTCCAAGAATTCTATAACATCAGGTGCATCGGTGTGAGGTGACATTTTTGCAGCCACTGTCAATTTACTCCAAATATCTCGATTAGCAAGTAAAGATGATCGTTGAAAAGTGATTGGCTGACGTCCTAAAACAGGATAACCGGAAATTAAACAAGCAGCATCGCCAATTCCCAAACTACTTTCATAAAGATTTCTGTCGTCGGTCGGAAGTGTTTGATCGACTTTTTGATCCATGCTGATGGCAAGAATCCAATCTCGAACTTCTTCATGAAGCTTTACTTCGTGTCTCAGATGCATAAACTCAGGAATAGGAACAGAGCTTGGAAAGTCAGTTGATGATAAATCTGTATGATCAACTAAATCCCCAGAGCCTTCTTCGATTGCCTCACAAACATCCAAATAATGATTCAACATGACGAAAGCTTCTGATTCTCTTCCTTGTTGTCTCAAATCCATTCCAGCTTCATAGAATCCTTTATCACATGGAATAATGTCAGTATAACGGAGAAGTGCGATAGAAATTTTTGCTGCAATATTTTGAAGTGCTGAAATTTGACGGCAAGCAGCACGTGTAGCGTAATAATGAGCGATTAATAGAAGTTGATCAAACTTTTCAATTGCACTGTTGTCGGGAACATCTGAGACTTTGATTGCTTGTACAAGTTGAAATAAAAACGTCCGAAGATCCTTCCACAAACTCATTCCATCAGTTTCACGAAGTCCAAAACATTCACTGGCAATTCTGTGATAAACCGTGAAGTTTTGCGGCAATGGCGGTACACCATGTTGTAAGAAGAGATTCATTGCATTTGGTGCTTAGCCATCACGAATCAATTGTGCAGCATATTGTGCAAGATATTTTTGAAGCACTTGACCGCCGTGCTGCTTTGCTTTCTCAATACAACGTGTCCATTGTCCTTGTTCAGCTAACAGATCAAGTGCACTTGAGATGTCAATGTCTGCCAACAACTCGACATTGCCTTGATTTCTTAATTTAAACTTTTGTTGAGACTCGACGTATTTGATTAGTTGTGGATCGATTTCCTTGGCCAATCTTCGTGCCTTACTCCAATTGTCAGATTGGATGAAGACGTCAACAGCTTCTTTTGGCATTTCTGCTGCTAAATAAAGTTGAGCTGCTGGTCCCATTAAATTTATTTCCACAAGTCTTGGTCCTAATTCCTGAGCCACTTCAACAGCTTCTCGTCCTTCTAAAAATTGATTACAAATTTCAGCTGCTCTAAGTAAAGCTCGTTCGACTGATTGTTCTTCGGCATTTGTTAAATTTATCAGCAACAAACATTCAGCCGCTTTTCTAAACTCTTCATTTCGTGCATAATCTGACGCTTGTTGCAACAGAGATCGCGAATCACCTGATGCTGAACTTCTATTAGATCTTATCTGCATTCTCTTCAATTCAGGAACTTCCTGCGGCATATATTCTTCAGCAACTCGAATCGCTTCATTCCACATGCTGTACTCTTTGTAATGATTTATGATTAAGTCGATTCGTTCAGCACGGATGAGAAGCGTTTCATACTCATGATAATTCCTCGCTTCCAAAGCAGCATTTGCTTGATTGATTAAAACTTCGCTTACAGCTTCTGGAACGTATTTTTCAGCTACTTTTAAAGCTGCTTTCCAATCCCCACCATGGACATGCATCATGATTGCTTCACGAGGTTTATTTGCAAGAATGAATTCAGTTTCAGCTTCGTCAAACTTTCCTTCATCTTCAAGTGCGAGCGCAATTTTTAAATGAACTTCGTCAGGAGTCTTTCCAGTTGCTTTACACAAATCCAATGCAAACTCGAAATGACCGGAATCACATGCAAAAGTGATTGAATTATCAACAAGTCCCATCTTTGTTAAAAGTCTTGCTGCGCCTTCGACTGGTAATGATTTTGCCCACATATAAGCGACTTGAGTTGAAGCGCCTTCACTTCCTTTTTGTTTTGCAATACGAAAAGCATCTTCCCATTTGTTGGCAGCACAATAAGCATGTACAGCTGACTTCCAATCTCCAGCAGCAATAAAATGAACTTCAGCATTCTTCAGTTTCCCTTTTTCTTCAAGTTGTTTCGCCAATTGCAGGTGAGTGTTCTCTAAATGTTCTTTATGGTATCGTTCAACAAGCCTGATCATTCCATCATACATTTCAAGATTCTTATACATGTTGATAGCTATGTCGGGTTGACCAATGGTTATATAAACTTTCTCAGCATCGCGATATTTCTTTTCTCCTTCTAGTTTCAAAGCAACATCCATGAAAAGTTCCGACATTTCACTTCTATCCAAATATTGTTCAGCAATGTCGAATGAACGTTCCCATTGGTTGTGTTTGTTTAGCATCGTTATCGCTTCCTTATACATTTCTGCTTTCAATAGAAGTTCTTCAGCCGTTTCTATGTCACCATTGCTAGACAAATGCTCAGAAAGTTCGCCAGCATATTTTGTAATTTCTTCAGCATCATCAAGAACTTTGACAATTTGAACTGCTTTGCGGAATTGTTTTGCGCCCATAGCCGAATCAAGTGCTTTACTGATTGCCCCAGCTTCAATGTAATGACTGATTGATGCATCTAATTGTCTCTTTTGTACTAAATAATCGCCCCATTCGTCTTCCAAAATTGTTACATCATTTGGAGATATTACTCGAGCAATTTCAACAGCTCTGCTGTAAGAATTTCCTTTTTTATAAAATTTCATTGCTGTTTCTTGTTGATTTGTTTTTTGCGCAAGGTCGCCGGCTAACTCATAAAGTTCTGATCGGACAAGCATTGACGTTATTCGTGACACTAAATCTTCGTTTTGTATCAAGTTCGGTGTTTTCAAAGCTAATCTTGCAGCACGTCCAGGCTTATTAGCTTTTATATAAAGTGTCAATGCTTTATCTCTTTCGCCACGTTCTTCGAGAACTTCGCCAGCTTTTTCTTCTTGATTTGTTGCCAGAAGGTATGACATTTGTTTCTCTTTTAAATCGAATAATCCAGGATAACCACGACGTTCAGCAAGCTTAATTGCATCTTCCCAACGACGAAGTTTGATGTACATTTGAAGTGCTGCTTCCAAATCTCCCTGATCAACATAAATCCTTTCAGCTGACCTCAAATCACCAGCTAGTAATGCCAAACGTGCTCGAACTTCTGGGCATTGGATTTCAGAACGTCCAGTCGACTCCTTGTAACGTTCCCCAATTTTAATCGTCTCAAATAAATAAAAAGTTTTCGACGCATTTCCCAAAGCTGCAAAACATCTTTGCGCGACTCGAAGATTTTGTTGAATCAAAGCAATGTTTGCTAAATTATGCCACATTGCTTTTGCAGCTGGCACTTCACCAAGTGACTCCAAATATGTAACTGCACGTCCGAAATCTCCGTCATTCAATGCTGTTCCAAATTCAACAAGACCTTCATCTAAAGGATAAATGTGGTCCGTTGCACCTTCCTTTGTATGAACTTCGGTTTTTCCTTCTTCCCTGATAACATCGTACACATCACCACGTACTGACATTATCGTCACATGCTCCGGTAAATCAATATTGTACCAAATTGCAAGATTAGCATCAGTTTGTGCAACGACAACGTCACTTCCACTCACCCATTGAACGAAGGAAACTTTACTAAGAAGCGTTTGTTTACGTCCTGAACTGATATCGACTACAATCAAGCGCATTTTCTTGTCTCTAAATAACAACTTGTGAGCTGTTTCACTCAATTCTAGCCAATCTAATTTAGAATCGTGAGAAATTTGAGTTATCACTGATTGCATTATCAAGTCAACAACACAAATTGTTTTCATGTCGAGAAGGTAAGCAAGTTTTTTGTTGTTTCTAGCATTACCACGTTCATTAAGTCTCACAGAGATTAAATGCGGATTAACAAATTCTGTTCGTACTGATCCTAAAATAAAGTTGTCACCATATTCGACAAGCGATAATTCACCAGCATTGAAAATCAAGCAAACATTGGGATTCTCGAAATAAAATCGTTCATGCTTCGATCCACTCGCAATCCAAGGAACTTCACTTGTTAAGCTTCGTGTTAGGTCACAAAGTATGAGAGACTCATCTGTACGTCCGACAAGATAATTATCTTTTCCTAGTGATATATAAAAGTAAAGAAGACATTTTCTATTTCAATGTTGTCGAGATTGTCATAACAACTTACCCATGATACGAACGTCATCAATTTCAAGTCCCATTTGGGATTCAACGATCATTGAGTTTGTCGGTTCTTGAAGAGATTTCAGAAGAACTTGACTTGGTGCTACAAAAGTTATTTCAAATTTATCTTGCCAAATTGTTCTCTTTATGACAGATTCGAAAATCAAAACACCACCACAAACTGTTCCGATAGAAAGTCTCGCACCATCTTTACGCCATGCTAACGCAGTTATCGAATACAAATTTGGAATATCTTTTGAAAGCGATTCACTCCATGAGTTTTGTCTTGGACTCCATGTGTAGATTCGTATGCGATCAAAGCTTCCAACAGCAACAGCTTGTCCATTAGGACTACAAGTTGCAACCATAAATTCACGTTCATTGTCATCTCGCGAATAGTCAAACGAACGTTGAAGTCGACCTTGCCAATCATAAAAATTTACTTTCCTGTCACACCCTGCTGCGACTATTCCTCCAGAACTCCATGCTAACGCCGCTGGTGGAACAGTGTGTTGAAAAAGTCGTCCCGAAGGTTCCCCTGTTTCTTCTACCAGATAAAATCTTATAACAGAGCCATCGTCGTGACCCGAAACAATTCCAGTTCCACGAGAATTCGAAGCTAAAGCAACGACTGTAGCTTCCGTGCCGTAAAGATTTTGTGACTTATTATTCTTACACTGTAAAGCTCGTACTCTCCCATCTTCTAAGCCAGCGATAATCATCCCGCTGTTCAGCCAAATCATACATGAAACTGCTGAAGGTTGTGGGAATTTATTACAAATTACTTTTTTGTCGTTCCAATTCTCGCCAAGCTTATAAACATAAACTATGCTGTCACTTTGTGCCACTGCAAGTTTTGTCGAGTCTGGACTGAAAGCGAGACCTCTGATAACGTAAGATGTACGACTTGCTGACGATTCACCAGGCTTGGTTGAAAATTTGTCTTTCTTTTCACCATTTTCATCAAAAAGAATTATTGTTCTGTCTGCAGTAGCTACTGCCAGCTTTTGACAATTCGGCGACCATGACAATCCAGCAATGCGATTCAAATGATCCTAAACATTATTTCATTTAACATAAAAAATTAATTTAAGATTCAACTCGACTAACCTGAGCTTCGAATGCTGTTTTAAGGAACTTTAATTGCATTTTTTTAACTACCTTGCAACTTTTTCTCTATTTCAAAATGAAAAACTTTAATGTTGAAACTCAATTTCACTTTGTTTCTTTTTTCTTGTTACCAAGGAAATATTTTTTTACAAAGTTTTGAATGTCATGGAAATATAAAAGTTAAAATCACCATAAATAAGCTGATATGTTTCAATTGTTATTATTTCTGTTGCCATGGAAATATTTGTACATCAAAACATGCAAAAAGATTTTATATTTGACATAAAATTTTGATATTTTTCATGATTTTTTAAGAAATATTTGTGACTGGTGATGTTGGTCGAATAGTTTCAACAACTGGCTTTTGTTTGTTTGAGACTAGTTTCATTTTTGGTTCCTTCTTTAACTCAACAGGTTCCATGAGCTTGAAGGATGCCGGTTTCTCATCGTCTGTATAGAGACGATCAGTAAAATAAACATTACGCAAGCGACAATTAGCATGAACTGTAACGCGAACAGTTTCCAAATAACAAGTTCCGTAAGCTCTTCGTGTGAAGTCAGCAAGATTCAGTTGGATTTGATTCCAGCCACAATTTAACGCCAACGGCATGAATGTCTGTGACTTTGTTACTTTAGTTTGACTTTGATAATTCGACAATCGAAAACGATGCAGTTGACTATGGTCATCTAAGACTTGCACTTCAAACGAGAAATATTTCCCGAGATTCTTTACGATGATGATCATGAATGGCATTTTAACTCCTAAGCTGACGCATGGCGTTGATGGTGCTGTGATGTAACAGTTTTCAATGTTGAGGCTTCGAATTTCTAGAACCAATGACTTAGCATCATCATCTGTTATGCGTTTAATGAATCCATTTTTAACGTGAGAGTCCCAAATAAGCAGAGGTTTACTGCCAATACTGTAAAAAACAGACAGAAATCCTTTCTGGAATGTATTACGGAACATTTTAAGTTTTTATTGCTGTTTATTCTGTTATAAAAAATAGACAATTAAATTCAAGTTTTCAAAGCTTTCTGAAGTTTAATTCACCATCCGCTTTTAACTTAAATTAGATTCTCGGCTGTCTAAATAGATTCCAGATATGTCACGCTCTTGTTTAGATACTTTGTCAAACATAATCTACAAAAAATAAAAATAAATGAAGAAAGCTTTCTTAACTTCCCAAAAGTTTAATATATGTACATTTATTTTAATACATTAATCCACCACAACTTCGCTTCTTCTCTTCAACTTAACTTTGAAGGGATGTGGCGACAATGTTATGCCATCCCGTCCTTCTAATCCTGGCAATGTACCCTCGTATGATATGTCAAATGAATGGAGAAAGGAAGTAAAAAATATAAAAAGACTTGATTTTGCCAAAGTTTCACCAATGCATCGTCGTTTTCCTAAACCTGACAGATTTTATATAAAACATAAATTAATATGAAATGTAATTGAAAATTGTTTAAAAGTCATCACCAAATGGGATAAAGTTTTCATTGAAAATTAATTCATTTTTGTCGTTTATAAATCGATCTGGATTGAAATCTTTAGGACTTTTCCAACAGTTTTCATCCATGTGAATGCTGAATATGTTGAACAACACGAGAGAATTTTTGGGAATGGTAAAGTTTTGAACTTTCATGTCTTCAGTCACACGATGTGCAATTCCTAGAAGAAATAAATATTTATCATATAACATAGATTAACATCGTAAACTTTGCTAACCCAATGGTGCTACATTAGACATTCTCTGAATTTCGTAAATTGTTGCCTTTGTATATTTTAAATTTTGATGATCGATCCATTTCGGAAGGCGATTTCCAGCAACTGATTTAATTTCGTTTTGTACTTTTTGCATAACTTTCGGATGGTGAAGCATGTAAAGAACAGCAAACGCTAAAGTATTACTTGTTGTTTCAGAACCAGCTTGGAAGAAGTCAATGCAAAGTGCCAATAATTGTTCTTTCGTGAAAAAGCTTTCATTTTTATTATTTTTTATAATTTCAACGCAATATTGTTCAATGAAATTGTTTGGTGAAATTTCATCAGTAAAGTTTTTCATGACCTCATCAATATTTATCCGAAGGAAATTCCACAGAGGCTTCATAGAGTCGATGAGTGGTTGGTAGCCAGATTTTCTCGGAAAAATATGTCGAATGAATGGAAGATGATTGAGAATTCCGCCTGACATGTCAATGATTTGAAAACATTTGTGAATACTTTCCATCAAAGTGATGATAATTTCATCATCGAGTTCGTATCGTTTTCCTCTGAGAATTGTCGACATTACGTTCATAACCGAAATATCAAAAATATTATTGTTTGCTTTCTGAATCGCCGAAAGGCCATCACATGTCAGTTGCTTCTCGATGCTTTTAATCAACTCTTTCGCCTCGAATTCTATACTTTCATACATTGTTGTCTTTCCAAAACCAAAACTCTTCATTGCTTTAACACTGAATCTTCTTTGATCTTCCCACAGATCCCCGTCAGTGAAAACAACTCCAAGTCTTTTATCAAATGACCGAACACGGAAAAAAAAACCATTTGGACGCCCATTAAGTTCCACACGATTGTACAATTCCTTGATCCATTTATTCCCTGACACAATCACAACATAATCGTTGAAGAATTTCAATCCAATCAATGACCCATAAGTTCTTGATAAATTATCCCACAATAAATGATGAAACTTCAACGTTTTTAATTTTTTCAATACCGAAACATTCCCAATTATTGGCCAAAATGGGGGACCTTATGTGGAAGCACAATTTATGTTGTGATTAATTCTTCATAATAAATTCTTTGACTGTACAAACCTGGTGGCAAGTTTTTCGGTCTTTTACAATTCCACATAAGCAAAAAAATGATCATAACTAAAGCACAGCTTAAAAGAAACATCTCAACTTCTCGAAAGATAAACTTAAACTCGCTTTAAACTTTAGAGCATACCGAGTAATGGAAAATCATACTTGAAAGGAAATTATCACAATAAAAGAATATTTTTGAGCCCTCTCAAGATTTGAAATGCATATTTTGTTAAATATTTATGAAATTATCGAATTCTTTTGAGAAATACTTTTATCTCGATGTGTGAAATAAAATAATCTAATGTTATCAGACTTATGGATGTAATACATCATTCAAATTCAATTATCGTCTGTTTACTTTAACTGATACTTGGATACAAATCTTGAAAGTTCAGAAGGCCAGACAACAAAAGGGAACAGAAGTTGAGATTGACAGCATGTTATCGTATAGAAAAATGATGCTTTAATATTGATCGATATCATAAGGTTGATAGTTTATAATTTAGCTTCATTTTTATTTGAATAAATAATAACCAAATGAAGATTTTTATTGTGATGGAAAATGTGACTGATGCTCAAAGTAAATGTTACATTAAATGTTGTTATTAGACGCATATAAACTGTGGAGGCTGGAAAAGGACGGAAGAGAATTCCGAGTGATTCACGAAGAGCAAAACGATGCTCACAAAGCGCATGAGTCACCTGTTGCAAAATATACGAATTGTAAATTTTGGGAGAATTATTTATCTGTTTTTATTATTTGTTTTAGCTACACTTCGACATTTTTAAGCCAAATTGTCATTTATATTTGAAAAAGTAAATAATTTCCAATCATTGACAAACTTTGTAGCAACATTTTTAAAACTTTTAATTGAAAATTATAAGAAAGAAGTGAGAAGTTGTGGGGAAAGTTTTTGTTGTAGAGTGAGACATCTCGTTCGATTCAATGCTTAACATCGAGAAACTGAGATGATTTTATCTCAGAATCTTAGTGTGAGCTAAAGAGAACGGACCTATCTATAAAAGCTCCTCGTTAATATTTGGGATTTTGTGAATAATAAATATTCTCTATTAAAGTGAAATTAAAACTACAATATTTGAAGTTGAAAACGTGAAATTAAACAACAAAATTATTCAAGATGAAGTTTAAAAAAAGTGCTTAAATATTTGTCATTATTTTACAAAGAAGAAATTTATTTTAAAGTTCTCAAGGGAAAAAAATGCTCAATTTTATGCAACAGTTGAATAAGATTTCTTAAGGCCTTCAAACTTATCGAGTAGATCAAATTACTCTCATGTGAGTTCAATCAAATACCTAAATGAAAAATATCAAATTATAAGACAAGACTTTGAGGGAAAAAAATTAACTAGACAACTTTATGTAGTGAAATGTTATTTATATCCTTTAGATTATTAAATGAATGGATAATTAATGACGTAGACAAAAGTGTTGGCTCTAAATATGACGATACGTCATATTAAGCGTCAGAAAAACAAGTGAAAAATAAGAAATTTATGCTTTGTCTCGGAATATCTAAATCATTTTTTCTAAGCTTGTATACATTTATGTGGTGGGACGATCTGTCTTTTTTTCTTTTATGCAGCCTCAAGCAATGAAGGGAAAAAGCAGAAGAGAAAGCTTCATGCGTAAAAAGGAGAGAAAGAATTGTAAATTTTATTCATCTACCTGTCTAAACACATTTTTCACAGTCGCATGAGAGTAAAAGCGAAATATTTATTTTTCTCGTCGTTTTGAAAAGCCGAAAATGATTGATACTGAACTTGGGAATGTAAAATATTTTGTAAATGAAATTTATGCTGATTCATTTGATGCGTCTGCTTGAGATTCAGAATGGGATAAAATCGTGTTTAAGGAAATTAAGAAGACTGACTAATAATTTCAAATTATTTATTTTCAATGTCAGTTCTAGTGAAGCATTTTCTACGGTTTAACATATTTGATAACAAAGAAGATTATGCAAAGAATGATTTTTAATCAAAAGTCTTGGCAGAAAACCTTCGTTCAAATTTTATTTTTAATTAAATCTAATTTTCTAAGATAGATATTTAAAAAAACATCTACTTAACTTAATTAAAACTAAAATAACTCAACGATTAATCTTTCAGTTGACTACCGTCTTGATGTAAAAAGCTTGTTCTTACTAAGAAGAGTGATGATGATGATATCAAAGTGTTTTGTCATATGAATTTGAATCCTTAGGAAACTTACAAAACTTTCGGAAAAGTCTTAATTAAACACGATGAAAAAATACATTGAAAAGTAAGAAAAACTTAATAAGGAAGAACCTTTAATATTTATTTTCCCCATCTCTTCTTTTACGCTTTATTTCAACGGTCTTGAACATGATCTCGATTGTTGATTTGAAGAACACAATACCCGATGAGATTTCTCTTCTCTTCTATCATTTCACTTTCTGAGTGTGAGAAATCGATTTTCTTCAAGCACATTTTTACGAAAGGTTCCATTAACGGGAGCAGAAAAAAAGAAGTTTTGTTCTCGTATTTAATTCAGACAAATTCAATTGTCAGATAAATTAAAGCTCCGCGCTTTCAAAACTTCCCTTGAATAAGACTTGCAGACTTGCAATTAGGTTGTAAAATTTTTAATACAAAAGAAATAAGAAACTTAAGATAGTGAGTAACAATGGATTTAGATTATTTACGAGTCTTTTCATTTATTATGATGCGAAGTGAAACTCTTTTTGACCCTTTCCAATACAATCTTTTTTACTTACTTACGTAGATGTGCTTTTTACTTCGTGAGTAGAAAAATAACAATGATCTTTCCCTTCTAATGTTTCTGCTCGGATACTTCGACCATAAAAATCTAAGGAGTCTCTTAGGTATTGCTAACATGTTATATAACTTATATCTTTTTACGAGAAAGTAGCATAAATATGTAGGTTGTTCATACATTAGAGAAAAGTTTATATAATAAATGGTAAAAGTGAAGTTGACAAACCATAAAAGCCCAGCCACACTTATTATGTGATCTGAATTTTATTGCATTATAATTAAGGTCAACATGAAAGAAAAGCTTGAGGAATAAAAAGAAAATAAAATCACCTTTTCGCATGAGCATGTAATGACATCAATAAAAGATATATTTAGAAGGTAGATTTTGTTGGAATCATAAGCAAACTGTAAACTCACCCTTAAAGTGAAATAACTCTAGGGAAGCTTTTAACGTAGCGAAGAAGAGTTTTAAAGGAATATAAAAGTTTGGAAATCAAATAAATCGTTCAGGTGCAAATAATTATTCTGTCAAGAAAACATGCTTAAACTTTAATTTGGACTTGTTTTGGAAAGAATGAAGCTTGTTGATTGTTTTCCATGAAAAGTTTTATGGTGAAAAACAAGAAAGTTTCATTTATGTTCAAATTAGGATAAAATATGCAAGTGTGAAATTGGCATAGTAATTCGTACTCTACACTAATTAATGCTTTAAAGAGTGTGCAAATAAAATGTGCAAAATAAAAAAGAATTTTCCATGCTGCTTCAGTTAATGTGCTTACAATGTTCTTTGTACAAACAGTTAATAACGTTGATCTGAAATAAAATAACTCAGCTTCTTACAATCATATAAATTGGACTGAAAAGGATAAAGTTAATGAAAATCTCATCAAGCAAAAGAATGCTAAAATCTTGGCTAAAATGAAAAAGATTATCTAAACAGAAATGAGAGAAAGTAATTAAATATGCTTTTGAGTTGGTATGTAAGTACGTAATCTGAAACCAGTCGGAAGAATGCTTAAACGCCTTTTAATTCTTGTCTTAATTTTATTCGTTAAGGATCAAAAAGATTTCTTATCACGATAAACTTTAATATCTGCAGAAATATTCACAGACTCTGAATTCAAATTTTTTGTCTGTCTTTAAGCTTAACATTCTAAATAGAAGCTTTCAAGATTATAATTCTTCTTTTTCCTTAAATGAAACAATTCATAATTTTTTAGCTAGCAGCATCAGCATTTTTATTTATTACTTTTGCTAGGTATCGAATATTTTATAACTTTAATCTAACTTTTTTATGTTCAATCTTGGAGTGTGTAATAAAATCTCGGCAAAAGTCACGATAAAGACAAAGTACTTAATATAAACATTGAGTTTAAGGGCAACTATAAATTAAATAAATTATATCTTGCGACTTTTTTGGAACTTATTTTTAACACTTCAGCAGCTTGAGATCACTTTCTGGAAAAGTATGATTGAATGTATGTCTAATATTAATAAAACATACCTTAGATTCAACGTTAATGTAAATGAATAAATTAAAATTTAAAGCTAGGTCTCATGTCTCTAAAGAATATTAATGAAAAAAATCAATTGCTTATATTTGTAATTAATTATGTATAATTAACCATCTTCTAAATATAATCAACATCGACATATTTCGATATTGATTTAAATTAAAAACAATTTATTATCAGAAGTAACCAAACAGAGAGCTTAATTCATTACATAGAAAGTCTATCGTTTCAATTTACAATGTTTTGTTGCTGTCTCAGTACATAAAGCTGACAAAATAATGAGAAAAGTTAAAAATCAATATTCATAATGGTAGAGTCGTTACAAGATTCCTGAATAATTACGAGTAGAAAAATTCATTCAAACTGCTTATCTATCAATTAAAATAAATTAAATTTATCTCTCCTGTGCTTCAATAAATGATATTAATTAAAAAGATTGGATAAGTCATCAGAAAGTATTGAAAGAAAAGCTTTTCGTGAAAGCTTCAAATTTGTCAATATAAAATTTAATTTGAATTTAGAAAGGAATCATAAATGCGCATTAAATTTAAATTCCTTTCAATGAATGAAATTTCTAATTGTTTTTTGACATTCTAATGAAGCTCTGACATCTTTGTTGGAATAAAAATAAATATTTATGAGTCACTGTGTGTTCACAACTTTCTCCTTAAACGTCACACAACTTTTACTTTTATATAGACTTTAAAAACGAAGCTCTGACGAGTGATTATAATAATCAACAGACGAAAACTCAACATTTATATAATTGAACACTTTGAATAGAAAACAATTTGAATTTAAAATTCTGTTGCTATGATATTCACTGATATGTGTTTTACTTCTACTATCCAATGTTTGATTCAATTTATTTAATTAGTTTTCTCCATTTCATCGAATAGGAAATAAGTTCAATGTTCAGAATTGATGAATAAACAAAAGCTTTAATTGAACATTGCTTTGATGGGTATGCACGTTCGAACCAGTTCACAATGGAAACAAAATCGAAGAGACAACTCAATTGGACCTTTAAGGCGAGCTCATCCTGCAAGTGGTGCAACATGGAATGTTCAAGTTGTTCGAGGAAAAATGTCAACGCAATGTCTCTGGCATGCATGTCGAGCTTTAATGGTTGGAATCTTACTTATGATAATTGGCGCATCAATGGCCACAATAGGATATTATTCAAATGATTTTGCATTAGGTGAATTTCGAAACAATTCAACGATACGTATAAAAAATGAGCAAAGAGGGCTGCATCTGAATAACTTATCCTATATGGGCCCAATCGTAATGGGAGTAGGTGGTAAGTATTTCAATGAAGAAGTGAACTTTTCAGATTCAAAATTCACACATCCTTTTAAGAAAAAAAGTTAAATTATTTTTCAATCTCTTACATAACATTGTGAATATGAAAATGAATAATTCATAAATGATATTTTCATAACAACATAATTTATGTTAAAACTGTAGCTTTTTTCTATGATTTAAGATCAACTTGAGAGAATTATTTATGTAGGGAATGGAAGAGAAAATTATTCAAGATCTGCCATATGTGCTTATTGATTTACATAATGGCTTTGTCGTTATAATTCGGTTAAATTTTCGTATTTTGTGTTCACTTAAGTTGCAATAACGTTTGATACTTTATTACATGTAGAGATAGTAGGCGGTGATAAGGATTAAGGTTTATTATCTAAGGTTCACGCTACAGGAACCATTTGTCATCAATGAAACCAACCTTCATAAAAATTTAAACCTTTTTCCTTAAATTTTTGGTTCACAATGTATCTAAAAGACTCATCAAATCATAATATATGAAGCATAAGCTTCTATCACGTAATTGAAAGGAAACGTTTTGAAAAGTTGTAGCTTATTTCTTAATCTTTAAGTTTCTTTTATTTTTATGGAAGGAAGATGAATTATTTATCTGTAAACACAATCTCAGAATCATGAAACATCTTCATTTCAATAAACCTCTCAACTTCAGATACAAATATCAAAGTATTTATGAATGAAAAGTTTATGGTTTCTTTAAGAAATATTATTTATTCATAATTCTCTTCGTGTTCATGAATATGAAAATGTTTTCTAATTATTTGCCACAAGATTAATTACGTTTTTCTCCGTGATTTTTCCTCTTTATTATGAAAGGGTAGAATTGATTGAAAAATTGAAATTAATGTCGCTACATGTGTCGCCATATAATTACAATCGAAATCTTGTTATGGTAATCACAATGCATTTGCAAATTGCTAGATTTTTCTTTGTAGCAAGCAAGTAACTGATGAAATATTTTCCTTAACAAAGAGTTGGATATACTTGAACTTTATATTTACAAATTTATTCCAACAATGTTCAAACCGATCTTGTACTTAAGTAAGAATTTAAATTTATGCGTTTCACTCAACATTGAGTAATCCGTCTTGTTTGCTGTTCAGTTGAAAGTTTTACGAAGCGAATGATGATTTTTCCTTTCCATTCATACATTAAACACTTGAGGCTTGGCACCATTTACGATGAGTGTGCGAAAAGGTATTCAATTACAATCTAGTTAAATTAAAATGAAAGAAGGAGCAGCAGCATTAAAGCTGAAATTCTCATTAATTTTTAACTAGCAGATTTTATAGCAATATACTTAGCTCATAAAAAGAAATTCTATCAAGCCCACGTGTAATTTTCATAGAATTTATGGTTTTATGTTAATCATCGAGGAAAAAAAGAGAAAATGACGATGATGAATAAAATGTTGCTTAATGACACTTTTCGTTCTCTAATATTTCCTTTTATCTTCCCGATAGGTTTTATTGTGGTTGCATCCTGTGTGATGACGTTTGAAGCACGTGATTCAGCAGCAAAAGTTGTTCCAGCACGCTTTAAAGTTAGTGGAAATTCGCATAACAGAAGCGGTGGAAATGGAAGTCGAAGGACAACTAGTAAGCAAATTTTTCGTAAGAGAACAACTTTTCAAACTTCTTTTATCTGCTTTTATTATTTGATTTGCCTAATAAGTATTTTTCTTTTCAATCCAAGCAAAAGTTTTCATGAATATGTGCCGCTGTTTAGTAAAATTGTGAATTGTTTTATGTGCAGATATTTGCATATAAAATTTAGCATTGTTAAAAGATTAAAATGTTTTATTATACGAACTCTTATGAGTCATTTAAATTTCAACGTCTATCTTAAAACAAAAGCAAGTATTTAAATTTAAGTTTTAACTCAACTCATGAGTGCACACAAAGAGATGAAAACAAAAAGTTTTTATTGTCGTTGGTTGATTCTTGCAGGAAATGGCATGAGTTGTTACCGATGATTACGGACTCTGCTGGTTGTGGCTATTGTTGAAGAATGATTAAAATTGTACATAAATCTACATATAAATATGCAAACTGTAGATAGAGAAATAATTCCTGAGAAATATTTTCATTCTCATTCTTGTCATCGATTTTTTTCTGCCAGTTTTAATTTATTTTCTAACAACGATTGGCAGTTTTTCAAGAAAATTTTCCTAATTATGAATATTTATTTCGTACATCTTTTAAGCCACAGTTTTAAAGTTTAATAAAACGAATCATTTTAGATTCGCAAGCAGTTATTTAGATAATGTGACTTCAAAAATTCGATTTCTAGACAATTTCTTCTTATTCGAGTCGAGTAGATAAATTTATAAATTTCCTCCTTTTTCTTGTTTTCATTCTTCTGATAAAAAAAATAAAAACATTTTCCATGATCGATTAGGAAAGATGACGCTATTGAAGTATCTTTTTCGTTCATTACTGTTAAATAACTCGATTTGCGCATTCATCAATCAAAGAAAATAATGATTTTTCATTAATATTGTTAAAAATGACAGCTCGATTGATGAAATGTCGTGATTTAAAAAGCTTGACGTCTAAGATTTTTGTATTTAAATATTTGTAATAACTTTGAATCTATGTAAGTAAAAACAAATTGTTCATCAATCCTTTTTAAAACTTTTGTTTCTTTATACTTTGTTTAAGCAATACATTTGAATCTATTCATATTGTTAGTGTCTTTGCTTCTTACGCTTTTGCAACAAACTTTAAATTTAATTCACATTCCATTGCTTGTTTTAAAGCGAGATTTAATTTAATTTTTTCTTGCCTTAATATTAGGCGTGCAATCATCAGAGAGTAGAAAAATGTCAACAACACAATCTGGACGTTGGGAGCAGCATCTTGGCTTGTTTAAAAGTTCCCCGGGTAGTGATTTGCCTACGGATCGACATGCTTTAACTGCTGCCCTGATACATTTTTCGAGGACGCTTGGGTAAGTGTCTGAACTTGAGAAATGTTTACTTGTGTATGAAGAAGTTAGAAAAACTTCATATTTACTTCTTTATTTAAGTTATCCCTTTTTCCTAAATAAATAAACTTTGTAAAAGTAGTTTTCCTATATCAATTGTATGATGATAAACTTCTCTCATATTGATTGCCAGTCTCAAGTTTCTAGAAACTTATCTCAGCATTAAAGGCTTTTTATTGCTTTTTAAATTGAAAAATCTAAGAATTATTCATTGTAATAAATATTAAGAAAGATCTGTGGAAAAATAAAAATAAGTTCAAAGACATGAATCAAAAATTATTTTTATCAAGTGAAAAATAAAAATGAACGTAATGAAGTGAAAATTTCCAAAATTAATTTTATTTATCTAACTGACTTAATGAATTCTTTAAAATATTTTTACATTATTTATTTTGTCTCACAAAAATTTTTGGAATATTTTTACAATAAAATAAATTTCTATTTAATGCAAACAAAGACATGAATCGTTGATGTATCGCTTTGCATTCACGCTCTCTTGTCCAAATGTTTTACCATAGCTAAAGATGAATAACATGACCAGAAGGATATTCGAGTGTAGAATAAAATTTTATTACAAACCTGTGCTGCATTCCAGGAACGTGACCTTTGTAGCTCGGAATAATTCCAGAGTATCGAGGATAAATTTCATTTCCTGGTCTCTCCCCATGCAACGAAGTGTGATAAAATGGAAGAGGAGAAAATTCCGCGGATTTCGTGAACTGATATCCGTTCGTAAAATCACACAATGCACTTTGAGTTTCGACCTTGCTTGTATGACCAAATTGTCGATAAGTAAAGAAACGATTACCTCTGTATCCTTAAAAGTGAAAATTTACATTACTCTTAACATTTATTAACGTGTTGTTTTACTTGTCGCGTAAGACATTCCTAAAATTAAGTTCTCATCACTGAAATATGTTGCGAATAATTAATTAAACGATAACTTAATCACTTCTGCCAAAGTGAATTCGCAAACTTTGTTTATAAAAACAGAAAAAAAGTTGGTAAAGTCAAGAGGCGAGCAAAAGGAAAGTTACACTGAATTCGATACGAATCTCAGCACAGAATGAAGCAAAATATTTAAATAAAAATAAATGTCTAACAAATGAGATTGATTTGCAAAAAGGGGAGGTTAAAGAAAGTCTATCAGTATTTGGCAAAAAGTAGGTTACAATAGCAATAATCAAAATTGCTTGATCGATAGCATGAAATTAAAAGTTGGAAGCACCTCGAAAATTGTATCGGCACGCTACCTGCTTTCAAATACTTTTCAGAATTATCCAATCTCATCCAGTGAGGGGGTGTGTGCTTTGAATAAGGCAATTCAGGTGCAGACGGAAGAATTGATTTTGGTGTGTCACGGTTGGCTTTGACATAATCCGGTCTGACGAGGGTCAAAGGATATTGATATTCGCAATTGGAAATCTTTGAAAGAATTTGTTCCAAATTATTTATTTATTATCAATAAACTCTGCAGTTTTAAAGTCATGCTAATGAATAATCAGTTAATTACCTCACACTCACCAATACAACGTCCAACGTACGATGGTTTTCGGTACTGAACTTTTTTGTAAATCGATTGAGCGTTTAGTTGTTCTGAAAGTTTGAAGTGAAGAAGGTTGAAGTTAAAGTATAACAGGATGTGGAATATTTGTTTTGAAATTATTATTGTGTAACTTGAAATACCTAAATCCAACATCGAATCTTTGCTAGTGTAGTAATTTTGATTACGCCACATTTAAAATTTGATTTTCTTTGTTTCCTTTTAAGAAGAATTTTATAAAAGAATTTCACTTTAGAAAATTTCAACCCAAAGCGTACTTAACTGAACACTGAAACAATTCAATTATATCGTCCAAAAGCTTTTAAAAGCATTTTATTTATTTATTTATTAAGCTCTACTTTTCATTTATAGAATCACCACTCTTGATCTAAAGCACTTTCATCGTTTATACTCTTTTAGTTTGTAAATGTTTTTTACATTTCTTTTTTTTATTAAAGTTCATGCTTGAATATGAACAAAATAAACACGAAAGTAAAAAGGTTGTTCTTTTTAAACACTGCAGGAAGCAGACACGAGAGAGAGAGTCCTTAACCTTAAGCTTTCGAGTATGGAATAGATATGTGGATTAGAAAATATTTTATTTTTTGTGAAAGTAAATTTTATATTCGAGCACTGTCGTGTTGCGTCTCATATTCCATTTGATGAAATATGCGTAAGGAAGGAAACAAAATACTGTAACAATCGTTTGTACAAATTGTGTGTAGAATCGGTATCCGTTAAAGACAATTCAAGGTATTGTTATCATTCAACATGCCAAGACATTCAACAATAAAAAGAAAGCTTTTTGAGTGGCATATAATGTAGGAAAGAAATTTAAGGTTTCATTCAAAACACACTTTAGTCTTTTGTTAGATTCTTTTTTGATTAATCAACAAAACCATGACACAAAAGTCTTGATAATTAATCTTAATTCATGAAGGGGAAAAATACGAGCTCTTCAAAGAAGATTGGAACGTTTGATAAGCAGCAGCGTGCTTAAAGTGAAATATATATTTTGCTAAATTATTAGGTCGAGACTTACAGGTTGGACTTTAACATTTATTTTATCGTTTTCGAAGACATAAAATTGCTTTTGAGTGAAGGATTCATTATAAAGTTAGATAGCTATAAACTTACAAATGACGTCTTAAATATTACACTGTTGCCTTCAACTTCTACAAAGCTTGCTTATATACTTACAAAAGCTTCATTATAACATAAAATCACAATAGCAAAAGCAGTAAACTCAGGTGGTTCTAATTTTCCTCCAATTTTCACTATTAAAATGATTTTTATTTTCATCTACAAATTATATAAGTGTGCACATATGTAGATATGTGAGAATTCGATTTTTATTCGACAATTTGTATAAGTTCGTTTCATCGCAATGTTCATTTCGTGATTTTTGGTTCTAATTATTTAAAGCAAAATACGATCGGTAGAAAAGCTTTTATGTAAGAAATCATGAAAATGTGGTGCTTAATGCTAAAATATTATCGCGTGCAACAGTTTTTTACCTGGGTTAACATCGATGTCAATATATTTCAAATAAAACCAAGCTGAAAACAAAGGCAACCCTCTTTTCGAAATAGTAAAAGATATTATTTGAGTCATAAGTAATAATCCGTTATTCGTTGGGAATTAGAAATAATAATCTATAAACGATTTCACTTTAGGAATTTTCATTTACAGTCTCGTTTCAAAGGAATTTCTGGCAATAATAAATATGAATATAATTTGAAATTAAGTACTTAATGATAAAGCATAGAAATATTTGTTCAAATCGTGCACATAAAATGAAGAACGAAAGCTCGTAAGAATGATGTATCAATTATGGTTTTGAAGTTTGAAATGCTGAATTTATTTTCTACGTAACGAATAACCTTGATTTATCCAAGGGTACTTTAGCCAACTAAGCTTTGTCGAGTTTAATAACCAATAAACATCAACCCAAATTTTTATGTCGTCTTTCTGAGGTTCGAAATGTTTATGTGTGAATGAAAATAAAAAAATATGATTCGAGTTGCATTAAAAATATCTTTCGAAGACAAAGAAAATTAGCATCAAATTTCAAAGATTTTGGGATTCCAGGAAATTTAAAACTACTCGTTTCAATATATTTATTGACGTTTTTCTTTACGAGTTTCATGTTTTTGTATGATTTTAAATGGCAATTATTTTTAAGAACTTTTTTATAAGTTTTGTAAAGAATAAAATGTAGCAGAGACTTTGAATTTTGTAATTTATTGTTTCCTTATCTTTCAATTTCAGATCACCAAAGTGCACATCAAAGTCTGGAAATTTTCCAAAATCACGAAGAATTTCGAAAAGTGGATCAGTACCAAATCTTGGTGAATCAGCTCATGTCACAAGTCCATTATTGAAATCATCAGTTGGAAGACGTGCTTCAAAGCATCATCGACATAATCATCAACATCACCATCATCATGGCAAGCATGGCAGTTTACTGCATCGAAAGTTAAGAGAAAGCGAACGCATCCATCCCGGATTATTAAGATTCCATCGTCATGCGATATCAGTAGATGAGACGAGTCCATTAACAAGGGAGTCGTCTCATGGGTCACAAGTTTCTGTGACATTTGATCCAAAGCCCGAAATCATTGATATTGTTTCCATTCATAAAAAGCGTGAACGCACAAAGAGATCAGATACGTCACGCAAACATGTTCTTTCTCGACAAAAACCTATTGAAAAAGATGATCATAGTCCGAAAGTTAATCGTCGTCATCATAGAAGAAGTTCAACAATGTCTGAGAGTTCCTTCTCGTCTAGACGAGCCGAAAGAAGTAGAAGAGCGTCGTCTGCTTCTAGAACAAGTTTCGAATCTAAATGCCACAATATCAGCATATCATCAGCTGCTGAAATCAATGATTCATTACAACCTCAAAGTCCGCAAAAAAATTCAATTCTTTCAATGGAAAAAGATTTCAGGTGAGTTGACTTTAAATCTCCGGAAGTAAGTCTTCATTGAGATGAAGATTAATTATAAAGGTGTTGGCGAAAATAATCTAAATTTCATTGTGAATCCTTTGGGAAAGCATCGTTTTGTTAGAATAATTATTATTCAGTTTCAAACTTTGTACATTATGGAACTAATTACTCGCTTTACGCAATTTTATGAATATTTTTATAGTTTTCAACACCGATTGCGTTAAACTTTATATAAAGGAGCACAAATATATTCAGCAAAGGTTTTCTTTCTTTCCCCTTTAATAACAGCCAATAACCACACGACACAATTTCGAAACGCTTAATTTTCTTCTGTTTTATCGCAAGTTTATCGGTCAGTCTGGAAGAAAAATCATTATTTAGAAATGTTTTAGGTAGAAATTCAAAGTTACGCTAAAATGTGGGTCAAGATTTATATTACTTTGATAGAAAGAAGGAAATTCTTCTGTGACATGAAAAGCCAGGTTGTTGTTATTAATGAGATTTTGGCTTTAAAAAGGGAATAAGAAAAGGTTTAATATTTAAAGCGTAGGATTTTGACTTTTTTGTTCATATCATGAACAGACTGTTAAACCTTGAAATACTGAAATTCAAGAGACCATAAGAATGTTTCTTTCTTATATGTGTTTAGCTTTCTGTTTTTTCTCATCTATTTTACTGAAAAGCATCTTCAATAATCGTCATTCATGTAATGTTTTCTCCTTTAAAAAGTCAACACAAAACTTTGAATCATTTTTCATTCTCAGAATGTCTGTATATTATCTAGCTTTATGTTTATCACTTCAGAGTGTTCATATCTGGAGCAACTTTAAGCATGAGACTGAAATCTTTGACAAAAGTCGTTGAGTATATTAAACAACGAGTAGAAAAAAGTTGGAACTGGAAGATAAAACTTAGTACATAAATATAAAGGGATGTACATATGAAAGGGTTGAATCGCATAGAAACATCCATAAAAAATATTTACGTTAGAAAATGTCTACCTACGCAGAGAAAGTTCTTTAAGATTTCTTTTCAACTTTTATGCTTATCGATTTTTTAACAAGAATTTATGTTTTTTGTCAACAATATCTTAGTTACCGACATCAACCTTCGTCTCAGAATAATCGTTTATTTTAGATCATCTGTCTATACATAAATAATTTAATTCTACTTTTGTTTATCAATTAAATCAATGAAAATTTTTAAGTAAATTCTTTAAAAATTGTTCTTTACAGAAGTCAATTATCAATATGCTCAGAGCCAACAGTCGCTATCAGGCAATTATCATGTCAATCAAGTATAGAACCATGTGTTCCTGAAGAAAACATCGATGAAAATGATTCGTTCCAAATGCCTTCCGAAACATTCGCAAAGATTGAGTCAACAGTAGTGACAATAGAGAATGATACTCAAAATCAACCCCATCAACAACGTCCGGAGTCACTTATTCTTAGCACATCTACAATTGAAGACAATGCCAATTTATCCGAAGCAAAAAAGTATCTTTTCAGAAGTCAATCTACCAAAAGTTTCAAGAAACCTAAATTGAAACCCTCAAAGGTTCTCAGTAATGATTTAGATCAAATATACGTGATAAGCAGTAATAGTTGTGTGCGGTCGGATATGAATGATTATTATGATTCCATAGAAGTGATACATGAGAGACGAAGCAAAAACTTTTCCAAATTCAACGAAACAAAAAGTTATAATGATAATGAATTGGTGGTTACAAATGACGAGAATTCTATTAAAACGACTGTTGATGTTGAACCGCATGATAACTGAATAAAACTGAAGGGGAATGAAAATTGAGTAAAAAGTTAGCTGCAATATGCAACAAAAATGGCAATAAATTATATTAGACATTCAACGACTGTGAGGAAAAGTCATTTTATGCAGAAATTTCAAGATTTTTTTGTTTATTCGTGATGGTCAAACAACTAACAGAAAATTGTTAAAATTGTTGGGAATTATGAGTTTAGCAAGCTGTTAGAATATTAGTTATGAGAAGTAAATTTTTTAAATTAACTGTTCAAAAATTTCAACCAGATTTATTTCTATAAACTTGAATCGAATGTGTTGATGGAATTCCCATCGTGTTATGAGAATTAATTTGTTTAAAATTATGTGAATTAAAATCTGTCATATTTTCAGCTGTTCATTATCATTATTTGTTCTAGAACTGATTTCAGCGTTAATAACATAATACAGAGTACAAAGGAATTTATTTGAACTTATGTTGAGAAAGCATTAAATTTAAATGCAACAACAAACATAATTTGCAAACCACATTAATAATGTTCAAATTCTCCCACTGCAATTTTGGAAATGTAACTGTGAAACTTTTTAACTGTCTCATAGTGATATTTATGTAATGTTTTATCTATCACATCATTGTCTCATGAGTCATGATGAACATGATTATGACAAGCACTGAGAAATCATACACAATCAAATGCATTTCCTTGAATCAAAAAGAAAAGCGATGTGGACTGTTTTCAATTTGTATTTGCAGTTGCTTTAATGAAACTATTTTAAAACAACAATTAAAGCTCTTTACTCATTTCAAATTAAAATAATAAATTATTTTTCTAATTAAACTCTCAAATAATCAAAAATCTATTTTCTGCGAATTTGTTTGCTTGAATGAACAGATTTCTGATAATGTAAATGATTAATTGGCTTTTGTTTGTTGTTAATTGGTGTAATTATTAGGAGAAATTAGCAGCACAAGTTTAATTAATATTTTTTAAAACTTTTGAAAGTGAAACAGGGTTTATTATTAATTTAAATAGGATAAAAACAATTCAAAACCACCAAAAATTAATGTTTGAGGTTTAAAAGTATTTATAAAAGATTTCGAAATGAAAATTTAAAAAGGATAATTCGAGTCTATGAACCTTCTTATTAAATGTTGTTCAAAATTTATACGCGTGAATGAGTAGATATTCAAGCTATTTATGAATGTTAAGTGTTTTATATGTGATAAATAGAGATATCAACAAGGAGTTGAGTGATAGTATTAGATTTAGTATAAACAAGATTTCACCAACTCCATTTAAAAGCTAGAAATAAAGAAAACTGAAGACATGTTTCAGCATGTTTTTGAGGGAAAAACAATTTCCCATTATTTTTTGGAAGAACGCTCTAACAAGAATTATGCTACTTCATATATTATTGTGTAGCATAAAAGAAGCATATATAATATTTATTTTGTATGACGCATAAGAAGCTGTAGAATTAAATATTTATAAATTAGATATACACGTTTTAAATAAACAAATATATAAATAAATAAATGTATACATTCATTCCTGAAAAGAGATTAATTTTCGCTTTCTTTTTTACACATAAATATTTTTGTTTCAGAAAAGCAAATTTGTTGATTACAAACCGCAGTTACTTATCCTGTAAGTAATTGTCAAAGTTGCTGGAGCAATGCTTAAGCTTTATTAAAGCTCACACATAGAACCAGCGAAAATTTCAGAATTTATCCAGTTAGCTGTAAGTTAATGTAAATTGCTTTTGTTCTTCTTTTTTATTTTTGTGTCAAGTGCCTTATAACGTGTAATTTCCCTAAACAATTTCTCCTTAATTCCTGAATGAAATAGCAAATAAAAAAATTACTAGAATCAAATGACACTGGAACTAGTTGTGAAATAAATTTAATTTTACCCAAAATCTACGTTTTAGCTATATTTAAAGTATTTTATTTTTATTCTATTTTAATATTAAAATAAACTCTGAAAAGCGAACCAAAATAATGTCTTCATGATTTCCCCAGTGGAAAATTGTGTGACGTTATTCGACTACCTAGAAATAAAGCTTCGACGTAGGTAGAAGTCAAAGTCTATAAATGTCTCAACCAAGATTTCGAAAATAAAGTTGCTAAAAATAGATAACCTGCCAAGTTTGAACTTTAAAGTCGTGTCAACTTTTCCATATTTAAACACCCACTCAGAATATCACCAACGATGACGCAACAAATCCCTGTCAACGACTTTCAAACTATGACATAAATCTTGCATGTCATCGGCTTGCTAGTTAAAATAGATATTTATCGTTCATTCAAACATATCTGCATACATGAATTTGTCCTGCGAATTGATAAAAATTGTATTAATCCTAGATAAATAAAAGAAGATATCAATTCAGAATATTTGTACGCATTGCAAAAGTTGCAATAATTTAAATATATAAAACAACCTTCGTCACCGAGTGTGACAGAAAACTTTTATTGTTTTAAAATCGATTCTTTGAGTGCTCGGCGTCATGCTAAGTTCAAAGCAATTAGCGAGGTATTTATGAAAATAAAGTAACATGACATTTTGAATTTAAGTGAGCTTTAAACATATTTTTAATTTAAATTATAATGAATCTAAGCATGCGACACGTTACGTATGTGGTCTTAGTGCAGAATTTCATTACATCACGGAATATTTCCAGATTTATATGTTTAGAACACGTGTTTTAAAATAACATCATAAAAATATTATTACGTGCACATTCATAATAATTTCCTACACTTTTAATTTACACAATTTATTAAATGGAACTAACAATTAAATATAAGCAACTTCTAAAGAATTATGCTTGAAATCTGACGTCACAAAGCACGAAAGCTTTGAAATGAAACGTAACGAGGCAATGTTTATTCACATGTGTGCGATTTCCTTGTTTCCATGGATATTTAAAGGTTCAATATCTTTTGTTGATTTTTCATTTGCTAGAGGCTTTCTTTCAAACTTTGTTTATTTGTTGAAATTTGTAAAAACATCATGGATAAATTTGAAGATCTTTTCGGAAAGAAGAAAGAGGCTGTGCCAGTTTTAGATCTAAGCAAATCAACAGCTTCAACTAAAGAAGAATTCAAAAAGTTGATCGAAAAAGTTCCTGATTTCAAAATTCGGTCTGTTAAGGTCAGACCTGAAGAGATAAAAATTAAAGAAAAGGAATGTAAGGAATTCAAATTATCAAGAAAGGAGTTGCGTTTCCTGAAAAACTCTCAAGGAGAACGTGAGAAACAATATACTTATATGGATCCAGTTCCTTCTGAAATGAGGTAAGTATGCAACTTTATCGCTCAGTTACTTTCAATTATAATAACCATTTTTAGAAGCATCGTTATCATGGAAATTTGTGCTGTCCCTATAGATTGGAAAATGCTGACAACACAAAGACCAAAGCTTAAAATAGACGAAAATTATTTCGATCGTCTAATTGAAATGGGGAAACTTCAAATTAAAACAGAAGCTATGGATAAAAAGGTCAACGCACCTGTCAACACTGTGAGAAAGTTCAAAAATAAAGCTGGTGTAATTGAAACACGCATAATAACATGCGCCGAATGTGGCGAAGAGTTCTGTCTTGGAAATTCATGTGGAGAATTTAATTACGATTTATTCGCTCGAGTGCCAATAAAAATCGAGAAGAAGAAAACTAATGAACACGGCTCAAATAAATCAACTACTAGCATTATTGCTAAACTAATGGGCACTGATAAAGACAAAATGAAAACAAGTAATTCTGATAAACTCAAAAGACGACCGCGAAGACGAAAAAGCCCCGTAAAGAAAAAGGAAAACGGAGAAAAAATATGAATTAGATTCGTACTTAAAGCACATCAGTTTTACAAATTAAATGCTTAAAACTGCTAAAAATATGTTAGAAAAATTCATTGATAAGTAGTAAAAAATTAGAATTCAAGAATTTGAAAATGTTTTCCTTAATTTTACCGTCTAATCCTTCAACTTATTATAATATCTAGTAGATTGATTAATACGCTCTCAGTAACTAATTTATGAGTTCTGATCCTTGAAATATTTTCTTAAAATTCTTGCAATCGAATCCCCTTATCTTGGGTATTTATAAAAACTTACTAACTCCTTAACATAACTCACTAACATTTACTGATGTTTATAAACCAAAAATAAATTTTATTATCCACTTAATTTCTTTCAACAGGTCTGTTTCATGACTAAAGTTTCAGGAAGATAAATAAATTATATCTAAATTTATAGTTGCTTAACATAAAAAGCAACTAAATAAGAATTTAATGTTATCAAGTTTCATCAAGACCTGATCTACCTTCTAATTATCTTGCAATTTCTTCTATAAATAAATAAATGGAAGAATTTAATAAAAAAAATAATCAACAACTTAATTTAGATATCTATGTAAGTAACGTAAAGTGCTTGTTTATATATATTTGATGTGTTTCCATATTCATAGTTTAACAAAAATATCATGAACATTAAATAGAAACATGAAACAGGTGGAAAACTGAAGGAGAATTGTGTTCACATGCATGACGTAATGAAATGCTTTTACAAAACGTTTGAGAAGCTTTGTATACAGTTCCATTTTTTTCTAAATATATTTTTATTTGAACCTTCAACAACTACACATCTATGCTATACATGTTTGTATATAAATACTTTTTTCTAATAACATTTTCTTTCACCCCACGATTTATTATGCTTTTCTATGTAGCGGCAGCCAAGCGTAGAGTGGTCACTTGTTTAAGTCTCGTTTTTCACGGTAGACGAAGTTCTTTGTTCAGTCGAAACTTAACTGTCGCGAGAAACAGTCGTGAAACTCAAAAGCTCCTTGTTTAAAAACAACATTGATTAAACAAAGTGGAAAAGTTTTCAAGATCTTGTGGGAACAAATGACTTAATAATAATTTGGTGATAGTCATTTGCTGAATAACTTTTAACATTGAACAGATATTTACTACAGCATTTGTTTCTTGGATAAAAAGCTCGTGCAAGTTTTGTTTCTGATGTATCGAGGATTTTCAGTCTTTAAAGAACAATTTAGGTATTTTTAGACATTTGAAAAGTAACATATTGAAACGTATCAATTCTTTCTTATAAATATTGTTTTCATGACTCCTAAAAATATTGAAATTCATGTCTCATCACTGGCAACAGTAATGTTACAATCAATAGCATATTTTAGGAATTCATAAGTATTATCAAAAGCTATAACAAATTATTGGATTTAACTGTAACGCATGTGTTGCACTTTTAAATATTTGATGATACAAAGAAACACGAAGAAGAAAAATTCCACCACTCTGTATAGACATTGGTTATCAGAATAATTTTTTTATGACAATCGATCGATTTCTATAAACTATTTCATTCCTACGCCCATCTGTCTCTAAGCCTTTTAGTGTGAAAATGTAATTGGAATCTTATTGATTTCTGCTTTAATATTATTTATGTATAGGTGAAACATAATTTCGTTGCCTACAATCATAAGATTAATCTAGATTAGTTAAATAAATATTTTAAAAGTCTATACGCACTATTATTTTTAGTCTGAGTATATTTTCATTATGAGACTTCAACTGTTGTCAGAAACTATTAAATATTGTTTTAAGTTAATACATAGTCGACATTTGTGAAAGTCAGTCTTAAATATCTGACACACAAGCTACAAAGAATGTAATATCAAACAATCAACAAACATAAAAGAAGAAAATTCAAAGAGAAACATGAACATTAACAGCAAAGTTATATCCTGAAAATCAATTTTAGCCTTGAACAAAAAAATGCACTTTTCTGGAAACTTTCTTCGGTGCCACTCGAATCAAGCCCTACCATAAACAATTTCATGTTTAGCTTTCACGAAGCTTTTGCTCATGTTTTAAAGTAAAATTATGAATACATTTTTAATCTATGAGTGAACGCAAAATTGTAGAACTTGAATAATGAAAATATTTTAATAATATTTAATTATTTTACAGAAACACTTCAAAGTCTGTAAATTTGGAGTTAAATGTGAAAAGTTTTAACACAGTCAATTAGTGAAAATCTAAAAGTTTCAAACATAATTTAACTAAAGATTTTTTAAGAGCAATTGAACTATTTAAGTATGGGCTGTGCAAGTAGTTCACCTCTAGTCAATGGAGGTGCTCCTGCTGGAATTGTAGATTCAGCAAAAACTGCTGCAACTGAGGTCATAAGTTCAGGAGAAAATGCATTGAATGGTAAGTCTTTAAGTACCTATTGTAAACATCTATGCTTCCATTTCATGGAATTAAAAAAATATTTATACGAGAATGTGAAAATTTTAATTTTCCTAAAGTTTTGAAAATAGTTTTGATTAATTTTATGTGTCGTTTGTACACTAAGATGGCGGGCAAGGTTATTTGATTTTCATTTTTAATTACGTAGCGTTATTAAAATCTAACAACTAAAGTCGTAATTCAAGTATTATGAATAAAATAATTGAAAAAGATTTATTAGCTAGCACGACCATAAAATTTTATTAAATTAAAATATCTGAAAGTTTCGATTGCTCGCAGTCCAAAATAGAAATTTTCTATATGTAAATTAAGTGTGAAAAAAGTTAATAAGAAAAAATTGACTGGTATTCAATTCAGTTTATTATAATATTGAATTCATAATGGAAGTCAGTTGATAACTTTGTCAATCCTTTCATGACTAAACGTACGGCAAAATGTTCTTTCGAAAATTGAACTAGGCAACATTTATTTATATACTAAACTTTGCACAGTTGGGGTTTTAACGAAGAAAATTTTACGTTCAGGTCGTGGTTGATCTACGTGAAAGATAAAATTGTGATACAAGTTGTGCAGTTTACTGTTACACGTCTTTTCTGAGTTAAAGTCGGAAATTGAGTTGGAAAATTTTAATGTTTTATAACTAAACTCAAATCAAATTTTTTATGTTTTCCTGTTTTCCTGTTTTCAATGCATACATGTAGAGAAGAAACATAAAAAAATGAAATATTTTCAGCAGCTTCCTAACATTGTTTAGCTAACCTTTAAAGCGAAACTTTTGTTTTCATTTTTAATTACGAAAAAGTTTACAAATCAATTTTATACACAATAAACATAAATTTTCAGCACACCTTACTGATAGATGAAGTTAAATGTCACACATGACTGCTCAATTTGTTGATTAAATTTCGCAAATTATCTACTGAGGTATTCAGAAACCTTTTTATGACATCATGCGTAGTTGGCTTTATAAAAATAAACAAATTGTTGAAGCTTTTTGATCTATTAGATGAGAAAGAAAACTTTCATGATTCATGAATTTAAAGCAAAAACTGAAAGCTAATGTCATGAAAGTTCTTTTCTTGTTTCCTTTATAACACAAAAAGAAAATTTTGACTTTTTGGTGCTTTGTCTAACAGGTCAACACATTTGAATGTTCGTTAAGCTTGATGTCGTGTCTAAATGTAGAAATTTGTGTAATTAAGAACAACAAAAGACGGAAAAAATGAGTAACTGGAAATTTTTATATATAATTTGCGTCTTATAGGATTTTTATAAATAAACCTTCACAGGAAACGTGTGCTTTAATTTATTCACGATTTTCGGTCGTTAGCTTCTTTTAACTGACGCTTTCATTTTCATTCGTTCCACAGAACTAGGCGAAAATATAACTGAAACTGCTGGTCAAGTAAAAGAAACAATGGAAGAGGCGGTAAACGGAATGGCAAATTCTATTGGCGGTGTTATCCATGATGGTATAACTAAAATTCCTTTGAAAGAAACAATGAATTCAGCAAATCACTTGATGGAAGAAAACATGGAAAATCTAAAGAATGAAATGATGAACAAAGCACAAAGTATCGGAGATGAAACTGACAAGATTGCTGATGAATTGATTAAAGATACTGAAGACGTCATTCGCGATGCTGAAACAGGAATTCTTGATATCAAAAATAATGCGGTGGAAACGGTTCAAACAGTTAAAAATGATATTGTGGACGGAATCAACCTGAAATCCCCGACTCATTCCGTGGATTTTAATCAAGCATCTGTTCCTGAGCCAGAAATTGAGAAATTGTTAAAAGAAGAAGACATTCCTACATCCCCGAAAGCCACAGTTGATGAATTGGTTAATCTGAGAATGAATATAGAAGAAGAAAAAGAAGAAGAATTTCCTCCTACTACTCAAGAAGAGTTTAATGTAGCAACAAATGTAGAAGAACCATCACGTGAAGCAACACCAGTAAAAATTGAAGATGAGCTTGTAGTTGAAGACATAAAGGATGAGTGAGTATATTTAGTGAAATGTTAAAACTAATTCATTCACTGAAAATCAAATTTCAAATTGTTACTTATTAAGTATTAAAATTGGCGCTCGCAAAAATTATTTTTTGCCTAACATTTACAACATTAATAATTTCTTTTGTAATTGCTTTCTTTCTAGATTCTCCTAAGCACCTTAAACGAGATATGTACATACAAAAACTTAAAATTGTAAGCAGAAATCTCAAAAATAAATTAAATGATGCGAAAACATCTCTAATAACAACTTTTAATGCTATTAATGAAAATAAACAAAAATGTACAAAATCAATCTGAAAGATTTAAAAGTCAATTTATTAAGAATTAAACAAAAATGCAATTAAAAACATATCAAATGGTAAAAAAGTATTGTTTTTAGTTGCACAAAATTGAATAATTTTGTAATCTATGTGATTGATATTTTATTTATTATCTACTACAAAAATGTGATTTCATCAGTAATTTCCTTTATGTAGAGTTTCTTTATGAAGAAACTATTTTATATTCATCAGTTATATATTGCCATGTAAAACAATTTAATTTATATTAATACTTCTCTCATGGTAGCTACAAATGTAATGAAACACACGAACCATCATGGCTTTAAATATTTTTAAAGCTTATACCAAAATTCCAGTAGATTTCTTATTATTTCTCATTGTCTATCTTTCTTAATTTATCGTTGATTTAGGTACATACTAAAGCTTTCATTCTGAACAAATACTCTACATATAGATGAATAAATTATTCATTTATGTTTTACTTCTGTCTTGATACACAAAAACATCATGGAAATGATAGCTGTGGTCATGTATTCAAATGGAAACTTTCCATAATGTAAAATAAACTTTGTAAAAAAAAATTAAAAGGAAAACAATAACATTAAAGCGCCGAACTTTCGGGATGTAAATATTGGGTTGATGTATAATGATAAAATTTAAACTTTCTCTAGAAGAAACAAAAGTTTATTCCATTTTCATCCAGGAATACAAATCTTTAATGAATAATTTAAAAAGTTTTATCCAAGTCAAAAGTTTCATGTTTACACAAAATTAATTTGAAGGAATCATCTGATGGTTGAAAGGCCAAGAAAGCTTCTTAAAACGGCTGCTTTTGAGGAGCCTGAGGATTCAAGTGAGTATGACGTATCAACAGAAGGTTCTCAAGATATAAACGAGCCGACATCGAAGACTCAATGGGAAGAGCTACAAGAATTTTATTTTAAAATGGGTATAAAGCGTGCTCTTAATGCAAGCATGGAGAGTTTGATGGAAGATGAAGATGCATGTAAAATAAATTTGTCAAATTTGTATCGTGAAAGCTCAAGTCAGTTAAGTGTGAAATCTAATGAACCGGCAAAATCCGATGATACTGTTGCAGTGATAGAAAAGCTCCTTAAAAGTTTTGAACAAGAGAACAATCTTACAGATTCAACGACAGATTTAAAAACTGAAGAAACACCGAATAGTTTGATTGAAGAAAAAGAAATTAATGAAAAAGAAATGATTGAAATTGCATGTGAAGAAAATAAAATTAATGAAGATCTAAGTGAAGAAAATTTTGAAAAGATTGATATTGAAATTGATAATAAGATCATTGAAGAAAATTTGGAAAAGATTGATACTGAAATTGAAAGTAAGATCAATGAATTTGAAACTGAAGTTATTAATATCGATAAAGAAACAAAGTTAATCGAAAATGAAGAAAATGTAAATGTTGATGATCAAGTTGTCAAGGACAGTATCAATGATGATAATTTTCAAAATGTTCTAGTAGAAGAATGAATTCTAAACGTCACCTCACAACTTATATTTAGGTTATCTTGAATCGATGTTGTCTCTACTAACACAGCACTCACAAATAAAAATTTAACTGATTATTTTTAATAAATATTTCCACTCATGTGAGACGTAATTCAGAACACAAAATAATTTGTGTTTCATGTATGGAAGCACGAAAAGTCTTTAAAGTATTTTTTATATTTAGATACCTAATAGAATGAAAATTTAATTAAGTTTTTGAAGTAATAAAAATGAGAAAGCAATTCAGATGAATGTAAGAATGTATTGTGAAATAATTAATAAGGATCAACACTGATTGTTATTGTTTTTTAAAATTGAATCGATGAGTATGTAACTTAAAACCGTTTTGTGAATAAAAGTTAGAAAGGGAAGAAAAATTAATGAGAACTCGTTGCTTAAACAAAGCTTTCGTGTAAAGTTCAAAATTGCAAATAAATTGATTTTCATTCAAATCTATTGCGTTTTGCGATATTTATAAATATAAAACAACTTTTGTACGTAGCAAAATTATATTTTTTCAATTTCTAGCCGACAGCTGAAATGTCCACGATAGAAAACATATTTCTATAACAACGGATAAAACAATATAAAGAATTGGGGTCAACGATGTTTAATAGCAAACACGGACAATGAACTAAGTAAAGTAGGCACAAAGTCTTGATTCCTTTACAACAATAACAATTATAATTTCCTTGATTTTTTTGTTTCTTCAACTAAAAAGCTTCATGATGAAATGGAAAAAGAAGAAAAATATTCAAAACACGTTTCTTATTTGTTTTGTTTCCTCGACATTTATTTAGTTGTGCCAACGCAATTACAATTTGTGAGTGGAATTTTCTACTTCCACTTTAACATTACCAACTACAGCAATGACTTCTATTTCAATAGCAGCGCCAATTGGAAGATTTCCAGCTTGGTAGCACGTTCGTGCTGGATAATTTGATGAGAAAACTGTCAAAACTTTAAATCAATGAACTGTTTACATTTATTCTGGTATCATAACAAACCTTTAGCATATTCTTCATTCACGACAGAAAAATCGTTAATGTTATTTAATAGCAAAGTACATTTGATAACATTATCAACATTTGAACCGACCGCGTTTAATAACTTCAGAATATTATCAAGTGCTTTAATCGTTTCAGGAACAATTCCACCGGGAACCAATTTATTCGTGTCTTTATCTATTCCAACAACTCCTGATAAATAAGCTATTCGATCAGTAACAATAGCTTGGTTGTAAGTTGCAACTGGCCGTGGACATTGTGACGTTGATATAATTTTTTTAACAATTGTTGAAGTCATTATGTGAACAGCTAGATTCTTTATCTTTGAGCTAATAAATAATAAAAGGAGAGATTTAATGGAACTAGTTAAAAGAAAAACAACTCGGAACCCTCATCAAAACACGTTATAAAATAATTTTTTGTAGAACTTCTCACTGCCTCTAACACTCACAGATGTTCATCAATAAATGACTTTTTTTTGGTAGAATCAAATAGGAATTTTATTTCTTATCTCCACAAAACAAATACAAACATGCGTGAATACTTCATGATTACACACTGACAATTTCAGTTTTGACATCACCGGTAATTGCAATCACTTCGATTTCTACAGATGCACCAAGTGGCAGTTTTCCAACCTGGAAACATGTTCTTGCTGGGAAATTTGATGTGAAAACTGTAAATTACAATATATTGAACTCATGTCTTTCTAACAAAAAATAAATTAAACCTTTAGTGTATTCTTGATTGACAGCAGCAAAGTCTGCAATATCATTTAGCAATACAGTGCACTTAATAACGTTTTCAAATTTTGATCCCGCTGCTTCTAAGATATTTCCCATATTTTCTAATGCTTTTGTAGCTTCCGATGCTGCTCCGCCTGATACTAACTTTCCAGAGTCTTTATCAATTCCTAGGACACCTGATAAATAAACAGTGCGGTCAACGACAATAGCTTGGTTGTAAGGTGCGGCAGGTCTTGGTGCCTTTGCAGTAGAAATGATTCTTTTTATAATTGTTGACATTTTCGAATAAGAAAAAAACTCTTTCAAACGTTACGAACCGGCAATTAAATGGAGACTGACAATGTTTAGCGAAATGTAATATGAGCTGATAAAAGTATTAACAACAAACACAAACGTAATATTTACTCGAAATGTTGAGATTCTGAATTTACACACTCGTATGAAAAAGTCATGTGAATATGAGAAATATGAGAGGTAAACAGAATCCACAAGTCTATAAAACTAGAATAACTATAAGCTTCAAGGTTAAAATTTAAATTTTGGTTAAAAAAAGTAATTCAAATAAATTGTCATACAATCATTCAAATAGAATTTTAAAATTGGAAACTTATGGAACATGGTTTTTTTTCACCATTTTTAAAGAGTCTTTGAATATCAATTTTCCTCTTAAAAGCTTTTGTAAGCTTTCTTTCATGGTTTAATTATTATCTAATACTGAAGATGGCGCTGATGTCTGTGTTTCTCATCAGGCAAGACATGAAAACTCACACGAAGCTTTTAGAAATCTTCGTTCACGTTGTTAAGGATAATTAGATATTTAAGAAAAGTTATAGAAGCGGTTCAACATACACTTATGCTGTTAACCAGCATAATGACTTTGTATCTAAAACGAAGAATTTAGCAGCAAATCACGACCGCATCGTTTTCAATGTGAATACAAATCATGATTTTGCTTTACTTTATCTGATTGCCAATCATTTAACTCTAATAGTTTGGAGGAATTGAATAACAGAATTCGATTGCGTTGAATAAAATTCGAAATAAAAATTGTAAAAGATATCATTTTCATAGGCCAGCTTGAAACGTGATACATTCACTTCATTGATCTTTCTGAATGACATTACTTAAAATTGATATTCATTACAAATAATAAACCATAAAGGTATAAATAAATTAAACAGTTTTAAATTGACGTCACTTAAAAATATTATTTCATTCTTTATAGATTAAGATTTTCACCTCATCAAATTTCCATTCAAGTTTCAAATTTCCGTCGATATTTATTCATTGGCGATTATTAATTTAATTTATTTATTAGTGCAGCTTCAATCGATTGAAGTTATGGAAGAAAAAATTGTGTAAAAATTATTAAATTGAAAATTAATGGGAATAAATTATCAGAAGAAATTTTATTTTAAGATGTGTCACTGGAGCTTCAAGAGGAATTGGAGCAGAAATTTGTCTTGAATTAGCAAATCATGGCTTCATAGTGATAGGATTAGCTCGTGGAATTAACAAAATACAAGAGTTGTCTAAACGGATTGAAAATGACAAGCATGGAAAAATCATTGCAAGGAAGTGTAACGTTGAAAACGAAAATGAAATTTTAGAGTCATTTCAATGGGTAACTTGGTAAAACAAATTTAAAAGCATTTTGAATTTAATTCGTTCTAATTAAAGATTAAGCAGTCTTTCGGAAAACTCGACATATTTGTAAACAATGCAGGCGTCATGATGCCAGACTTGACTTTAATAGAAAAAACTGAAAACATTAGAAAAATGTTTGATGTAAATGTCATTGCTTTATTTACTTGCGTAAGAGAAGCAGTGAAAGTTATGAAAGAGACCTCAGTAAAGGGTCATATCATCGTCATAAACAGCATCTTAGGACACAAAGTTCCTGATATTCCTCGACAAATAAAACCACCTTTTGGGTTTTACCCCGCTACGAAATTTGCAGTGAATGGTTTTTGTCAAACTCTCAGGCAAGAATTAAATTACGAAACTTTGCCAATAAAGCTGACTTCAGTATCACCAGGAATGGTTGACAGTGAAATGATAAATTGTATGGATGAAGAGTTAGTAAAGAGTCTTCCCAAACTTTCGACTGTAGATGTGGCAAAAGCTGTTCTGTTCGCAATAACAACGCCTCATCGAGTTAAAATCGACGAAATCGTTATGAATGCAATGGATTGTTAATAGAATAATGGATTTCATCATTTATTGTAATACCGCACTTTATTCACTCATGTGATTCGTCATATATTCATTCCTAAAGCGTATTAAGTTATTTTCTTGTTCAGTAATTTATGGTAATGCACGTTCATAAACGGAACAATAAAATGATTAAATATTTATGCAACTTAAACTTGTAATAAATAAATTTAAATTTAAAAGGCACAACTCAATTTAAGAAGATGACTCTGAATAAGAACAGAACAATTTCTTATCAAAATCTTTCAACAAATCATAAAATGTTTTACTTTCGTTGTTAACAATCTTTGGATCAGCGCCAGCTGCCAAAAGTTTACAAATGATTTGTGCATTTCCAGAAGAAGCGGCAAAGTGCAAGGCAGTCCACCCATAAGAATTCGTGAGGTTTAACTGGATGTTACTTTGATCGATGAAGTATGATGAGATGTCATTTGCATCGCTATCAATTGAATACATAAGTGGAGTGAAACCGTTTTCATTTACTGCGTTGATATCCACACCTTTATCGGCCAATATTTTGATAACTTCCAAACTGGCTTTGCACGTGATAGCTTCGTGAAGGCAACTACGACCATCAGCTTCTCGAAGATGAAGATCGGCTTTGGGATGCATGATTCTTTTCAGATCAGAATTTCCAATGAAAATATTAATTACAAGACCTCCATAAACAGTTTTTCCATTGATATATTTATCCACGAGTTCGTTGAAAACAGATCGTAAATCGCCATCAAATACCTCTTTATAAATAGTGCTGCCCATTGTGAAGAATCCAATGTATGAGACGTCGTCATTCGTAACTGCAAAGCGATCAATGTCGGTATGTTGCAATAAAAACTTTGCAACTTCCCATCTTTGACATCTCAATGCAATGTGAACTAAATTCTCTCCTATATTGTTAGTTACATTCACATTTGCACCACGATCCATCAAAAGTTTCACCCAATCTTCTGTAAAAGCAGAATGAATTGGTTTGTAGCCAATGTTATCTGAAGTATTGACATCTGGTTCATGTTTCATGAATTCGCAGAAGAAATCAAACGGAACTTTATCCTGTCCAAAGGTTGAGACAAAATTTATGAATGGCGTTCTTCCCCGTGAGTTCTTTAAATTCACTAAATCAGGTTTCAATTCATTTCCCATCAATATTTTAAATACTTCAGCAGATTTCACATGATGCAATGGTGTGTCTCCATTATCATCAATCTCATCAACTTTCAATCCTAATTTCACAAGTTCACGTACAACTTCGTCGTTGTCACATTCAGAAGCAAAATGTAGAAGAGTTTTTCGTTGATGTGCACGATGCTTGTAGTCAACTCCACGTTTTAATAAATCCATGAAAATTTTCTGCATTAATTTTTTCTCTTCTCGTCTCTCAGCTTCATGAATCTGGAAAATAAAAATTTCGAATAAAAATATTTTTTATATCGAATAAAAATACCTGCTGCAGGTTTTTCATTTCATCAGGAAGTTGTGTTGTTGCTGGTGCTTCATTTGTTGATTCCACGTCATCATCTGATGAGTCATTTTCAATTTTCGGAAGAGAACAACATTCTGTATAAGGAGTTGGAGCTACGTCAGGAATAACTTTATGAATTGAATGATGTAGAAGATTGTATTGCGTATAAGGCTCAATTATCTTATTCAAGTCCTTGACGTTGCATGACTCAATCATGTATTGGAATAAATCAAACTTTTTAAAACTCAAAGCAATTAAAAGTTGAAAATTTTTATTCTCATCAGGAACGTTGATGTCAAAAAATTTGAGTTTTTGAAGCATTTTGAAGAATTCCAAAGATGCACCAGTTTGAATTAGAATCACAACAAGACTAGAAATATAAGAAGCTGATTCAAATTCATCGGGATGATTTTCAATAATGAAAGCAGCTGCTTCTTTATGTCCACCACTCACAACATCACGAAATGCTGAATGTCCTGGCGTTTCACACCAAATCTTTTCCTTTTCCTTAATAGCTGTTGGTGTGTCAGCAAAGCTCTTGAAAAAGCAATTTTTATAAGCTGGAAACTTCTGATAAACATCTTTAAGCTCTTCAAGGTAATTGTTATTAGCGAGGTAATGAAGGGGAATCCATTGGTTGGAATTCTCTATGACTAGAAGATTTGGTTGCTTCTTTATGATTGTTCTGACAAGCTCACGATCGACGTTGTAATGTGTTAACAATAAATGCATTATATTGCAGTTGTTTACATCAGCAAAGAAGAGATCGGGTTCATATTTTAAGCATTTACTCACGAAGTCACATTGATTGCAAGTTATTGCTTGTAACAGAATATTAAATCCACTATATTCAGTTTTTCTGCCAAATATTTCAGTGACATGTTCCTCGCCATCATACTTTTTTATTTCAGACATGATGTAGTCGAAAACTTCAAACGCTCCATAACCCGCGATGTTGAATAAAGCAGATCCTTCGGCCATAAACTTCAAAAGATCTGGTTTGAATGTTTTGTTCATCCATTTAACTGTTTCAAGTTGGTGGTTGATGCATGCAAGTTCAAAGGGTGACTTCTCTTGAAACTCACTCTTTTCCAGTTGTGCACCAAGTGCAATCAATTTCTCAATCAGCCAAACCATTCCTTGAAATGCAGCCAAATGTAAAATATTCACATCGAATGTTCCATTTCCATGAAGTCGTTCAACAATATTTAGAAATAATTTTTGTTCTTCATCATTTTTAGTTGAGATTGTTTTAACTGTTGGATCGTGTTCATTGCTTTGTTTCATTAGGATTAGAAACTTTTTGTTTCCATCTTCAACTTCATTTGTAAACTGTGCTAATTTGTCTTCGACAAACTTACATTCGTCAACTCCAAAAGCAATTAACACGGCTATATCGGCATTGTAGCCACTCTGCACAAGAAAATTGTGGTCATTCTCATAAATTTCAATCAATTTTTGAATGATATTTTCTCTATTATAAGCAATTGCGAGATACAAAGACGAGAATCCATTTGTAGTCGGTTGGTAGACGTTTAAAGAATCTTTTCCTATCTCATTGAAGATCTTGTCGTCGGGTCTCTCGCGGATCAAATATTTGTGTAATTTGTTACGCCAAATTTTTTTTCCACTAAGCATGGGAATGAAAAAAGTTTTTGATGCGTCACCCATGGTTCAAGATAACTAAAATAAAAATTAGGAGATAACAAAATATTTGTAGAAGTCGAAATGATTTTCAATTATTTCATTATATGTTATTCAAACATTAATTATGTACGTTTTCCAAATCTTATTAAAGTGCTTAATGTAAATATTTTATCGATCTTATTAAATTCCACTATATTTAGCCTAAAATCACATCTGGGGAGAATCACTTACATTACAGTGAACAAAATTTGAAGATAAAAATGTGTGTAGGTTCACTCTCAAGCTCGACTAAATTGCGACTGACTCAACGTCTGACGACACAAAATGTGAGAATATTTTTCTAGTAAACAGAGAGATTTTACTTTGCCGGTTGGATATTTACTCAGAGAAGAAAACCCACATGATTAATTTTTATGTTGAATTCGTTCTCTTGAATGAATTTTGTATTTCACAACGTTGGTTTATGCTGCGTGATTTTTTGTTTGTCATCTGAAATTTCTATACAGGCATATTTCACTACAAATTGTTTGCTCCCCTATTGCTTGGTCTTTCACATATTCAGACGCATAAACATGAAAGTTAACAACAAATGTAATGAAAATGTTTTATCGATAATAACAAATGGTAAAAATCTCTTGTGGCTTGACAAAAATTGGTTTTCGTGTCTTTTAATTGGAAGAATTGCTTTACAATCAAACATAAAAGGATAAATACATTCACATACAAGAGAAGGAACAACCAAATACAAAAGACAAATTGTGGGAAAAAGACGAACAAGAAAAGGATAAAAAATCAACGAACAAGAATCATGCATGCATTACTGAAAATTTATAAAATGCGACAAGACAAGCAAGTCGCGATGAACAAGTCGGTTGGATTATTGCCAAAACGTGTGTTTGGACTAAGAACGGACGTTATTGGAAATGTTCACTTCACATTGGGTCAAGATGTGGTCTATCCGGTCGCTGGAGCTGTAGTGGTTCAAGATTTTATCACAAATGAACAAAAGCATCTCAGGTAGAATTAAACGATAAACTTAGAATTTTTTTTTATTTAAACGCTTCACAGATTTGAGGAAAATATTAAGCCGGAAATTATAGTCATCAGTCCAAACCTTAAACTTCTAGCAGTATCAGAAGTTGATGTCATAAGCGAAAAGTAAGAAACAGATCGGTTTATTTAACTTTGTCGCTTAGTTATGACGAATCATTTGTTTCTTTTCTTTATTTGTTAATGACACATAGAAAGGCAGAACGTTCATTTTTTCACGTTTATTAAATAAATAAGTTTAATTATTTTTCTTCTAACAGAGCTGTCATCAATATTTATGAACTGGAGAAACTTAAAAAAATTAAAACATTAAATCTTCCACCAGAATGCCCAGTTCAAAATGTAGGAAACATGTGCTTTACATGTGATTCGAAAGGTCTTGCTATGTTGTCCCAGGAGCCCGATGCTTTTATCACAATTTATACCTTTGACAAATCTGATGGAACGGTTACGGGACGGGCATCGAATAAAAATTATCCTGGTCGTGCTACATTAGTTCAATGCAATCCAAGTGACGCATCGATTGTCACGATTGGTGGTGAAAATATGTTGAAAATCATGAATAAAACTGAAAAAGGTTTTGGTCAGTTAGGAACGATTAAGGGAGAAAATATTGTCGTGACATCTTTAACATGGTTAACTGCCGAAATAATCATCGCTGGGTCAGCTGAAATGGAACTTTATTTTATCGAAGGTGGAGAATTGAAAGTAAAGTACAACACCATGGATCTTGAGTTTATTGATTTAGCATTAACACCTGATGAGAAGAACTCAAAATCAGAACTCAGTACAATTGCAACGCTTTTAGCTAAGAAAGTTTATCCAATTAAATGTTTGACGACGTTTCCTTTGGGCTTTGCTTTTGCCACGAGCAACATGTGTCATGTCTTTCGTCGCCTATCAGCTTTGAAATTCCAAAAGAAAACTCTGTTAACAGTGCCTGTAACTCTTTTTGAGGAAGCACTTTATGTTATTAAAGACATTGCCATTAATGATCAACAAGACACAATCGTTGCAACAACCGAGCACAGTCAAATTTTTATTGGTCAATTGTTTGCACCGGAAAATATGAACGTCGTGCAAACAGAATTTAAATACCTTGGTGAACCGCTACATGTTGATTCTATTATTGATTTGTCTGTTTGCTCATGGAAACCTATAGCAATGACTGCTTCAAAAGATCACACTGTGAGAATTTGGAATTACAATACAATGAAGGTAGAACTGATTAAGAAGTTTCTCATTGACATTCGTGTTGTTGCTCTTCACCCATCAGGGATCTTTGCAGCTATTGGATTCGTTAATGTTCTTCGTTTATTTCAAATTCAATTGAATGATTTGAAGATCTCAAAATCATTTAATTATCCAATGTGTTCCGTCATTAAATTTTCACACAGAGGTCATTTGCTAGCAGCAGGTTGTGAGAAAATTATTGCAATCATTTGTGTGTTTACTTTCGAAACTGTCATGACGTTGAAGGGTCACAATGGAATTTTAAGTTTGGCATGGTCAATGTATGATCGTTTTATAGTTTCATCAGGTAATTTAATAAAATTATTTTAAAACATGGAAATAAATTTATGGTTTCCATTATTAAGGCAAGGAAGGATCAGTGTACGAATGGAATGTAAGTAATAATGGTGAGAGAGTCAATGAACTTGTTCAAAAAGGAACTCACTATAATGCAATTGCTGTCTCATCCGATCAAAGTTATATTGTTGCTGTAACTCATTCAGCATATCTTCGAGAGATTAGTAAATCTCAAATGATTCGTGAATATCGAGCACCTGACAATGAGTCATCGTTAACAACTCTCGCTTTTGCACGATCGGATCAAATTATGTTTGCAGCAAATGAACGGGGAAGTTTATACAACATCAAGATGCCTTTTCTCGAATCAGGTGGTGGTTCGTTCAATAACAATCATTTCTATCATAAAGCGATTAATCGACTTTGTATGACGCATGATGATAAATTATTAGTAAGTGTTGGAAAAGATGGCACTTTAGTCTTTTGGACAATTACAAATATAGAGAATCGTGTGACTGAAGTTATCGACGCTGAGATTGGAAGTTGTGAAGATATTTTAATATCACGTGGTGAATTGACAGCAAAAATTGATAAAATTTCATTACTTGAAATGAGAATAAATGAACAGATTGATGAGTTCTCTTATGAAAAATTCCAATCTGAAAGTTCTTATAAGGATCAAATTAAAGGAATTCATGAAAAGTATGGAAATGAACTTGAGCATTTGAAGAAGGAGAATGAAACTCTCAAAGTTATACACACTGAACAGTTGAATGAAGTAACCGAAGCGATAACAAAATCAAATGAACGACATCAACGAGAAGTTGATGAATTGGAATCAAATTTTAACCAGAAAATTATTCTGGAATTTGATAATCAGAAAATTCTTATTCAACAAATGCAAGAAATGAAAGAAAATTATGAACAGAAACTATCAAAATCAAACTGTATTTTGCATGACACCAAAGGTAAGATCAATTTTATGATGATTTTAACAAGTTATTAATGGCGTTTCAACAGATAATCTTGAAAGAAAATTCAAGAAGCAACTTGACGAGAAGCAAGATTTTGTTGATGGCTTGTCGAAGAAGATTAAAGAGAAGGAAAAAGAATTTGAAGAATATTGTCGTCAAGTTGAAATTGATCGTAAGTAGAATTTCTAATATTTATAAAATATTTCTCAGGAAATCTTAACATCATTTCATTTTGTTTACATTGTAATTGAAATAGATGATCGAAACATGGTAGAGTCACAGTTGAGCTATGAAAAACGATTAAAAGACAGCGAAGAAATAATAACACGTTGGCGAGGTGACGCAGGCGTTTTGAAGAAAAAGAACAGCAACATGACAAAAGAATGTGAAGAATTAAGAAAGGAAATTGAACTTTTAAGATCACAACAATCACGTTTCCAAGACACAATCATGCAGAATCAGAAGCAACTTGATGAGCTAAGAATTGAACGTAATCAAAGAGATGTCACGATTAAAGAGAAAGAAAAGCACATGATGGAAATGATGAAACAAAGTCAAGAGTTGGAAACAAACAAACAAATTCTGACAACAAAAATGAATGAGCTAAGAAATGAAATTGAGCCTCGAGAGGTGGAAATACGCGAGAAAAAGGAAAGAATATTCGAAATGGAACGTGAAATAAAACTTCTTCAACAACAGCAACTTAACAGTGGATTGAAAATTTCTCAATTACGCGATAAGCTTTTGGGATCTGACAAAGAATTGAAAGTGGAGAAAACTCGATCCAAGAATGTCCGCGATCAATTAACAAAAATTTGCTCAGATATTCACAAGATTTCATCGTTCATTCAACAATCGCCAGAAAAGCTCAAAGAACAAGTAACAGCACTTTTCCATCGTTATGGAAGTGATGCAGAACTACAAAAAACTCTTCTCCTCGATGTTGAAGTTCAAAATGAATTTGCAAGACAAAGAGAATATTATGAGAAGCTATTGACAAAGCAATCATCATCGAAAATTTCAGGAGGGAGGTCCAAGAAACTATCAGGAAGTGATCACGATACGTTAAAATTGCTAAGAGAAAATGTTACTTTAATTACTGAATTAAATCGACTGAGAACGAAACTTAACGATGTAGAAAAAGAAAACGATAAAATGAAATCAATTCTTGGATTAACAACCCGTCACATGCTTCCCAGTGTAGCACGTCAGAAACTCGACAAAGCAGCTATAGAAAAAGAAGAAATTCATGAAAATTATCGTGAAATAATAGAAAAACTAGAAGAAAAGCTTGAAAAAGTGATAGCTGAAAATGAAAGTTTAAGATCGAAAGCTGATTAGAAAAGGTGCAATAAGGATCTTCAATCTTCGCCTTCTGACCCTTGACTTAGAGCAACAGATTTTGCTTTTAAATATGCATATAAAGTTAGCCATTTATTATTCTTTTTTTGAGATTATTTCTAATAATTCATTTCGAAAATAAAATTGATTGAAATAAAAATTGAACTTTGCGATTCTTGTAGCTTTTAATGAGATATTTATGACTTTATAATGTAATATTATAATGTTGGTTAAGAAATTATTATTTCAGATCGTCAAAGTCGAGATGAAGAAATTTCAAAAATATGAAAAATTAGTTAAACTTAATTAAACAACCAAATGAAAAATTAGTTTGAAATTTTCGGTTGAATATTCTTTCATGAATAAGAGTTGACAGTCACATGTTGCCATGGTCCTAATATACCAAGAGTCCAACCAGTTCCTGCCGGATTATCACACGTTATGCCATTTCTTTTGCAAATGTATCCACTGTTGGAAAGTCCAACGACGATGTTTCCAACGGCTATGTGTTTAAAGCCAATATTGCCATCACCTTCGAAGTTTGGTGGATCGTTGGTAATATTTGGGAGCATCTCCCACTGCCTTCCTTCCGGGATTCTACCAGAAATATCTCGTCTGACACCTAAACGACCTGAAGAATCAATCACCCACACGCCCAACTTTCCTGCAGATATTTGTTTGAAATGAACATTTGGAAGGCTCTCAATACGCTTCCATGTTTCACCAATTGGGTTTTCTTGTGAGATTCCAAGACGATACAGAACTGCACCAGATTTAGCAACTGCCCAAACTCTTTGATTTGGACAACAAGCTATACTGACTATCGCCACATCACAAGGAATGTGTTCCCAGCAATTTCCAGTTGGTGTAGATTTTGTCACATTTTTACGCATCAAAACATCGCCACTTGAAGAAACGGCCCATGCTATGATTTCATCAGAAGATCCATTGACAGTTTGCAAAGAGACATCAGCAATTCTGGTTTGTCCCACTTCTTGCCAGGGTCCACGTGTATTTAAACGACACTTTCGGTACCATCTCCTTCGTCTTGCGTAGTCAGTGAATTGTTTGTTTGGATGATAAGTCATAGGAAAATCAACAGCATATTGCCATCCATCTCGATCACATCCATTCGGAATCTTAAAATCCACCAACCACTCGGAGACAAATTGCCAATGAACTGATAGAAGTTTACTGTACTCCTTGCTTCTTTTATGCTTTCCAGTGATGTCACTCCAAAGATGGCGATCGGTTGGCAGTGAAGTTGTTGAAAAACCTGAGATTGGATTCCAACGTTGATTCTCATAAATGTAGTAATGACTGGTGTCACTCATATTGTTAATACCCGCTGAACTAACTTCCAATCCTTTCAAAAATCCGCCCCATCCACCTGTGTACACCCACAATTGATGATCATATCCAATACCCCATGTAACACCAGAAGAACAAGTTTCAATTTTTCTTAAATGTCCGCCCATTTGTCGCCAAAATAATTCATTGAATGACAAAATCAATTCCGGAGTTTCGTAGAGAATTTTAAAAAGTTTCACTCGACCAGAACAATGTAAACTTACAATTGTTTCGGGATTTTGTCGATGTTTCCAAAATGTGAAATCTTTACCATCAATGATTATTTTAAATCCACCAACTTCCGATTTTATGATCAATTCAAATTCCTTTCCAGGTGAAAACATCACACAAGATTCACGAATTTCCTTTTCCCAATTAGATTTGTCCATTGAATTTAAACAAATGCAACGTTCATTGAAACGAGGATTAATATGAAGTGGCATATTTCGGAAGTTTTCAACTTTGTGACGAAGACGAACTGTGGCATGGCCTTGAAGATCGAAACGTATTTGATCAGCGTCATCATAAACACATCCAGTAATTTTTAGACTCGATCCTAATGGCATTCCATTAGGAAGTTTAACTAAATATGGTGTTTCAGTTGCAGATACGTCCATTTCAATGCTATATCCATTGTCACTTTTCTGTAATTTACTCAAATTTTCAGGATCGAAAACAAAATTCTCACCTAAGTGACTTGTCATCCAAATGGAATCTGTTGATGGCTTTCCGCTGACATCATTAATTTTACATGTTATTGATGTAAGATGTGACAACCAATCTTCAAGATCAGAATCACCTGAGAATTGGAGTCTTAAAGGTGAAAGACCTACTGGAAGTCTTGGCGCGTGAATTGCAAGACGAGGATGACCAGGTTCACTGCAAGTCATCACACATGTGATTTCTGATAGTGAAAATTGCATTTTTGTGCTGACACCATCAGAGTTGAGAACTGTAAATGTTCCTGTGTCCATTCCACCAGCTGATGACACCCATTCAAGTCCTATTAAGCAATCTTCAAATGATCCATTTATCTTTGCAATTCGAGCTTCACCAGTTTTATCCCACGATGATGTTTCCATCGCTTTTTCGTAATTCTCGAACCCAGTTTCAACTTTTTCATTTCTATTTTTTAAGTTTTCGAGGATTTTCATTCGCCATGGTCTTGTCAATTCAGCTTGACTATCATCGGATGAAAGATTGAACCAGTTCGGAAGTTGAAGTGGATCTACAGTTACAGCTCCAGCAGCCACACCAGTCCACGTGATATCACATTCAATGTATTGTGAACCTGCGAAATCATCTTCACCAAAAACTCCTGAATCACGATTAGAACTTTCAGATTCAAAGACTGTTGAATCTGATTCAGGATGTGCTTCGATACCAACAACAGATCCAACAGATGTTACAGGGCTCCATGCGCGAGGGTTTTTCAAATGTTTTCCGGACACTTCAAATACTTCATTATTTATTGGACAACTGCTGGCGACATTTTCCAGTGACTCTTGTTGTTGTGTAGAATTATCAGCTGAAGTGTTTGGCCAAAGTTCAAGTTTATTAATATTATGAACAGGTGCCGATCTCGATTGTTCTTCATCATCTTCCTGAATAGATGTTGTACTTTCTTGTTGACGATATTTGAGACTATTTAAGCTTCGATGACGATTTGGAGACCCACTGGAACTTTGACGGCTATACAATGTCATGATGCTTGAATTTCTACTCATTTGCATTTGACATTGAATAAGTTTCCATTTCTTTCCAGTTGGATCTGCTGTTGAGACACCAGAACGGAAATAAAGTGAGCGATCTTCATTTCCAACAGCAAAAACTTGATCATTTTGAGCGACAGAAATCGATGAAATATTTCCAACCATTTCAACCCAACCTGAACCAATTGCAGCATCTTCAGAGATTCCAGAAGTTGAACCATGAACGCCACGACGAAACCAAACATGATTATCATCTGTTATGCACCAAACTGAACTGTGCCCAACGGAAACTTGCGTTATTCGTAATCCATTTGCTGGCGGTTTAACTTCAAGCCAAGATTTTCCAGCTAAGTTATCACGTGTTACCCCAGCTCTCACCAAAGCTCTTCCATCTTTACATGATGCCCAAACTAAGCCAGTATTACCAACAGACACTTGACAAACTTCGCATTCTATTGGTGTAGAAATGTGAATCCATTTCTGACCTTCCGGCAGTGTTGTTGAGACTCCCAATCTAAACATTACCCGTCTATGTGTTGTCACTGCCCACACGACCATAATACCAGATTCTGCTGATGGAACACTCGTACCACCAACAGCAATATCTAGTTTTTAAAAAATATAATGAAGCATAAAATTATGTTAATTAAATTATTTAAACCAACCAATGAATGGTTCTTCTGTTGCATCTTTGTGCAATGGACCGATAGCACACCAACTGTTCAAAGCTGAATATTTTCGGAAACGAATCCATTTACGACGACGAGCGCAATGCGACCAAGACATTTTTGAGTGATATTGTCGAGGAAAATCTACTGCATAAGACCATCCATCATGATTTAAAGGTTCGCCGCCAAGATTCAAATCTAATTGCCATTCACCATCCCACTGAAATTATTTAAAATTATTTTGTGACGCTTTTAAAAATTCTATATTTTTTTTACCTGCCATGCCATCGAAGGAAGACGAATTTTGCTAATTTCTCTTTCAGCGAGTCCATCTTCACTGCTGAATCTTGGACGATCAGTTAGAAGGAGAGTCTGACTCCAACCACCAGCAGGATACCACCTTTCGTTTTCATAAGAAGCCTCACAAACTCTTATTGGAACATCCAAAGAATGAACATGAACATAGACTTGAAGGTCGGTTCCAATAGCCCAAATAAAATGTGGCACAGCAGACAACTTTTTAAACTTTACATCTAGTCCAAGTGGGAGGAACTCTCTCCAAGCTGCGTTCACAGTAGAAAGGCCATAAGCACGACATTCGCTGTTAAAAGCAAGTAATAATGTTGGTGGCATATTTCTTTGTCTTGCTTTTAAAATCTATGCCCAAATAAAAAAAAAGATTTTAAATATTTCTTTTATAACTTTAAATATGCTTTTTAAACATTAAAAACATACTCACGAAATAATCATTTATTTTTGTCTTGAAAATTTATTGATTTTATTTTTTCGTTTATTTTTTTCTTGACTCATACATAAGATCAAAAAGGAATTTATTGCAATTTTATCTTTAACTTTGAAGGTCTAAATTCACTATTTCCAATGGCTTACGAAAAAGTGTATTCTGATTATGAGATAATCTCCAAACAACAATTGCAAACACTTTTTTCTAAATATTAGGTTGAATCTTTATTTACAAATCCAATTCGACGTAGCTAGTAAAATGTTTATAAGAATAATAAATTTGAAAGTATGATTTTCGTTTGAAACTTATAAAAAGCAAACATTTCTTAAAAATTTATTTTCTAGTAATCACTCTAACTAAGTATTCGTGACATACTTATTATTTTCTCAAAATGGAAATGTCGATACGTGGTAAAATTTGTCATTGTTGTGCAATAAATCCAAGGATTGTATAATTAAGGAATACAAAATTAACGAAAGATAACGGATATTAAATATTCAAACTAGAATTGCGTTAAAATTAAACGAAAGCGGTGTTTGGTTAAATAGAAAGGAAAGTTCAAAACCCCTTTAGAATGTAAATAAAAACGTATTTAAAATCCACAATGAATGAAGCAATAACAGAGTTTTTTGAAATTGTCATTAATCAGATTTTATATCTGAGAGAAGTCTATCCTATTGAGATATTTAAAAAACAAAAAGTAATAAGCAAGCTTATGTTTGGATCTGTAACGGGATTAAACATTGAAATTTTTTTCAACAGGCCTACAACTTGCCGGTTTACATGTCAATATATCCACCGTTAAACGATTATTTGCGTAGTTTTCTAATGGAATTTCATGAACTGTTGAGCAATAAAAAGCTTAGGAAAGTTGAATTAAGAATCTTCAAGAAAAATATCTTAGAAGAAATCTTTTTCTTTGAGCTAAATCAAAAAACGAATGAACAGCAAGCAGATTTACTAAATGAAGAGGAGATTGAGAAAGAATTTAAAACATTTTTATATAAAATAGAAACATATCTGAAAACAGTTGAGCACAATTCAAAAGCTTCTCGCTTCAAAATATATCTTCATGTTTCTTCTAAAATATTAATTAACGAAATGAATAGTCAAGTGAGATCTTTTCATTTTTATTTAACTTATAAATAAAACTTTATTGTTTTTAATTTCAGAACTTTCTGTGGGTAGAAGATATGAAAAACGAATTTGAGCAAGACATGGAAACTGTTCCGATATTAATGAATAGAGAAAATAATTTTATCCAATGTTATGTACATAGAAAGATCTGTAAAAAGTACGAATAAATTCTTATTAGAATGAATGTGTGCGTAAGCTTGCGTGAATTAGAAAATGAACGTCAATGTGTTAGTATAAAACCGGCATTTCAAGGTCGACGGCATCGTTGAAAATTTCTTCATTTGATCGAAAGTTCTTTTTTATTTTCTATTAATGAATTCAATGTTAAAACTTAATCAGTTCTCGTTAAGAACCGTCTCACAATTATTCTCAAGATCAATTTCAACAAGCAAAATGGTGCAAATTAAGGTAAAGCATTCCATATTAATAATTTTGTTGCATAATAGCATTAATTACGTATTTTAAAAGAAACAAAATTGAATTGTCATATAAACAACGAATTGGGGTAAAAGAGATAAGAAAAAGTCGGCCATGCCATGTCATTCCTCCATTATAACTTGATTTATAACTTGCACATGTTTCCATATTTTTAATACACAGGAAGGTGATAAGATTCCAAATGTCGAACTCTATGAAGACTCTCCAGGCAATAAAATCAACATTAGTGATTTGACAGCCAACAAGAAGGTTATATTGTTTGCTGTTCCAGGTGCATTCACCCCGTAAGTATTTAAATGAACAAAATATAAAAATTTCTAACCAGTTTGTGATATTATCCAGTGGATGTTCAAAAACTCACTTGCCATCTTACATCGAAAAGGAAAAGGATCTCAAAGCATCAGGAGTTGACGAAATCGTTTGTGTTAGGTAAGAGAAGAAATTAGAAATGTTTGATAAAAACTTCAAAAATAAATTTGGAAACTTTTTAGTGTCAATGATCCATTTGTGATGGGAGCTTGGGGAACGAATTTCAACACAAAAGGAAAAATTCGCATGTTGGCTGATCCAAACGCTACATTCACAAAAGCAGTCGATTTGACAATTGACCTTGCACCATTAGGTGAGTTACGCTTGTCATTTAAATGGGATATGTAAATTAAGTTTAATTTTTTTAATTAGGTGGTGTAAGAAGCAAACGCTACTCAATGGTGATCGAAAATGGAGTTGTGAAGACTCTCAATGTAGAACCTGATGGCACAGGCTTGAGCTGTTCATTAGCAGACCACATCAAGGTTTAAAGGAATAATTTCCTATAGCCAGCTTATAATTAAGCACATTTCTCTCACCAGACAATAGACATATAATGGAATTCCAAAATGTTTTCTTTCTCAAGCGGGTTAATAAGATGCATGTCTATTTTTTCTTGCAATATAATGTCCAATAAAAGTTTAATATCATTTTATCCGATACACTTTGTTGTCTTTTTATAGTAAATACCTTTATCCTTGCCTTTATCAATAAAAGTAATAAAGCAACTTGATTGAATGTCATTTGATCGTCCACAGAAAATTATTAAAAAACATTTGATTTCTTAATTACTAAACTCTCTCGCTTAGGTTAAAGTGAACATTGACAAACTAAGTAAAATCATTAAATCTCAGCAACCCAAAATTGGTACAAACTATTTTACTGTACCATTGTCAATTGAATTTTCTTACAAGAAAGTCGCAAAAACCTTTAGAAACTTAAAAGTATTAATTAAAAATGATGGAAACGAAATCAAGTAGCAACTTCGAAATTCTCAGTATGGAACAGAAACGAAATGGATTCCACGAAAGATATTTATCGATCTGCAAAGCAAAAAATTTAACTCCATTACCCGAATTGAAAACGAGACAGAAACAAAGTTATGTGCTTGATTTTCACGCTGACAGAGTAAAGGTTGATGATTGGATTGCTATAACAAGCGCATTAAAGAATGACCAAACACTCACGTTTCTTGCTATTCGTTTGCGTCGTAACAATGAAACCAGTAAGTACTTGTCAAACTACAAATTGAGATATTTATATAAAGTTAACATAAACATTCCCAATGCTTGAATAGTTTTTGAAGATTTAGTGACAGCAAAAAAAGCAAAATCAATAACTGCAACGCATCCCGTGATTTACTCAGCTTTTGTGCTTACGGAGATTGTACAATCGTTGGAAAAATTGCTGAAGAAAAATGAAATTCTGAAGACATTAATAATTGAAGGACTTCCATTACGTGGACCCTACATGACAACATTTCTTAAAGGTCTAACTCATAACAAATCTATTACAACGATTAGTTTATCTCGAAGTAGAATAGGAGATGCAGCATGCAATCAAATTTGTTCAACAGTCTGTCACAACTTAAATATTGATACTTTAAATTTATCAGGATGTGATTTAGGAACGGAAGGGGCCAAATCGGTAGCAAATCTTATAAGACATCAAAAAATTCAGAGATTTTCTGAGGCTTGGGCACATTCATTACGATATCGTAATGTCGATGCAGACAGCTTTGGAGGGTTGAAGAAAATAATAATTAATAATAATCCGATGGTTACTGACGAAGGTTTAATGCCCTTGACAGAAATTTTGCAAGAAGATGTTTGGATTAAAGACATTGAAATGATGAACTGTGGTTTAACTGATAATGGCGCAATGCTTATAGTTAATTGCCTCACTATTAACAAAACTATCTTAAATTTCAACATTAATGGAAATCCCAACGTGTCTGATCATTTACATCGTCACATTTCTATGAAACTCTGTGATGGTAGCGATAGCGGCTCTGATTCCAACGATTCTGGTGTGGCTTCAACAACCATCAGTAGACAGAAGTTACTGGAAAAGGTTAAATATCTTGAAGATCAATTAGAACTTGAAATCTATCGACGTAAACAAGCTGAACAGTTGACTGAGAAATTGCAAAGTCAAGTCGTTGAATTCCAACAACGATTGAATATCCAGAATGCTTTAAAGGTTCCCGAAGGATTTACATTGATTGAAGAAAGTTCTTTGACAAAAATATTGAAAAGGTTGACACATTTTAAATTTTCAGTTTTGAAAGCGAAAGTTATTAAAACATTTTTCTGTTTATTACAATTGTAGGAATGAAACAAAAACTGCAAGACGTGTCAAGCATAAAATCTTTACATTGAAGAATACAAAAACTGGTCTGATAATGAAACCAAATGTTAACTATCAAAATCACGATGCTTCAGAATCAAATGATTCTGCCAAAGAGAAAAACTTCTTTGTCGAACGGAATATTGGCGACAACATTGAAAATAATTCGGAAAATATTTCACAATTGAATTCATGCGAGCAAATAAATGGGAATGATTTAATTGCCATGTTCGCCAAAAAGAAGCCACCACAAGATGTTCATTTAACTGAAACTGGAATAGAAAGCTTCAATCCCAGAAATTTCTTTGTAAAAAGTGAAAATCGAGTGCCCCCAAATTCAGCTGAATCAACCTAATTCTATTTTCATAAACTTTCATTAAATAAAAATTTGCTTTCTGGAACGTGAACTTTTTATTCATTTGCAAAGATAATATGATTAATAAATATGTTATGCTTGGTAACATTTCATCAATAAGAAGCTCTTTTGCTTGCATATTCATGAAATGCTTCGATTTCAATCTTCAATGTCCATTTCTCATGCGGTCGTTACCAGTATTGTGTTATTTATTATTTTATGTCTCAGTTGTGGCATTAGTCGTAACAGATTTGGTGTCAACATTATCCTTAAAGTCTTCTTTAATGCCCAACCATGGACATTTCTTTTCAAGTGCAGCTCTATAGCGAGGATGAGAAATTGCGTAGACCCATGGATCGATACAAGAAACAATTTTGGCTGCTACAGCTGGAATCATTGTTGTCAATGGTGTCAATAATGAACGATTGCCGAAAGCTCCTATCAAGGCTACTATCGCGTATGGTGTCCATGCACAAACAAATAAAAAGAAAATTGTAAAACAAGCTTTTGCAATTCGAATCTCAACTGTTTGTGCAGCGTCATCTTTATTTGCCGACAATGATTGAACATTCATTCTTCTTGCCTGATCCCTCAACATTTTTTCATGAGCTTTAACATGAGAAAAAAGTTTCGAGTAGAAAGTCATGATTAAAATCATTGGAATGCAATAAGCCCAAACAAATATGCAAGCTACAAATACTCTTGTGTCTTCGTCGTCGGTTAAGAAATCGAAGGAGCAAGTGGTGAGAAAGCTTAATTGTAAGAAATAAATTTAAATAATTGAAATTTGATCTTTGTTTGCATATGAATATTTACCCTTCGGGAATGTAACGTCCCCAAATTTTCAATGCGGGTAAAATCGTAAATGGCATCGTCCATAGCCATGTTATGATGATTATAGCAAAGGCTTGACCTTTATTCATTTTTCCATCAAGTGGGCTGGAGATAGCTTTGTACCGGTCATACGCAATAGCTGCGTTTGTGGCCGATCCACCTGAGTAGAGTGAGAAAATAATTTTATGTATGTTTGTTATCTTCATTTAATATTTACCAATTCCACTAAAACTTCCAAACACCGAATAAATAGTGCAAGCAAGATCGCCTCCAATAATTCTTTGATAACCTGAATTGTAAAGTAACATCGGCATTTCAAGCATCATACACAAGTCGAATATTGCAAGATTAACAATAAACATGTTGGAAGGAGATCGCAGAGTTTTTGTACTAAATAAGCAGAGAAATTTTGATTAGCAAATTTAATTAATTATACTGCTTGATAGTAAACTTACGTTGAAAAAATCCAAACAACAATTCCATTTCCAACTGTAGATGTTATCATCAGAAAAAAATATATAACTGCAAGTAAGAGATGATAATAAAACGGTGGTGCCTCGTATGCTTGCCAATGTGAATGGAGAAGACTCATATCTTCCTGTGGAAGGTTCCAACCAAGTAGTTTGGGTCTCTCATTTTGAAGTGCCATGGCGATTATCGTAGATTCGTTTGACATTGTGTAGATATTATTTTTAAATTATGATAATTTTTTTCTTAATAATTTATGTCACAAGAATGATTCGGATATTCAGATAATGTATAAAAAGTAAAACTTTGTTTATATTTGAATAATTATTTTGTCTATGTTAGCATTGATAAAGAGATGCCAGCTAACATCACAAAGTAAAAGCAATTCTAAATGATGTTTTGTCTTTGTAATTCGCTAGCTTTATATAGTTCTGTCAAATCATGTTCTTACCATTTATAATTCGATTAGCAGAGAAAATCGTAACAGAAATTTGTCACTTAATCTTATACAAGCAGTGATGAATGAAATTGCCAATTTTTAAGCTTCATCTTTAATATTTTATTTTGCGGATGTGCCTGTGCTTGACGTTAATTTTACAAAGATATTGTTTGACAAACGTGCCGAAGTCATAAATTTATTAAAGAGAAGACATATAAATATTCAAATTAGGTGTTTGTGCATTCGATTGAACTTCCTTCGATTGCTTACAATGATGTTTATTAGGTGGTACAAATAGAATAAATTCCGAAGTATTCATCAATCAAGGGGAAAATCATGAAAAACTTAGAGCTGATATGTTGGTAGTGAAGTCGTTTACAGTTAACTAAAGAACATTGAAATAACATAGCAATTGACATTTGCTGACAGGTTTAACAGTTTTGGATGAAGATTGACCATTAGTAAGTGACCCCTTCATGTTAATAACGCTTTTCCTGTGCTGCTTGTCACTGAAGGAAAATTAATTAGTGTAATAATTAGTTTTCTCACAAGTCCATTCTTATTAATTCCCTGAGCGGCAAATCAACAACTTTGGATAATTTACGTGAAAATTAAAAGTAAAAGTAATTTCTCTTTCAATTTTTATTAATCAAATTTAAGATTACATTCATAAAAGTTCTCGTCGAAAAGGTTTTTAATATTTTAAATTTTCATAAAAGTTCTCTAACAAATATTTAGATAACGAAAACGTTTCATTCTTAATTTTTTTCTTTTTAAAAGTGGAAGACAATTTAAATTGGTAACTAATAATATCAGCATAATTTTAGTGTTTATTGAAATCTCTTGTGATGTTATAAAAATTTATTTTTCCAGCGCATCCCGTGCGATATTTTCAGATAAAAATCTTAAACTTTACTAAAATTACTTTAAAGAATTTCCATTACTTATTGAGACGTTTGAATCATAAAAAATGCGTTTGAGTTAGATACAAAAATGTTTGAAATCTTTTCGTGATTTCATTCTGTTATTTTTTTATAAAAATTCGGAGTTTTGTCATAAGAAACGTTCCAAATGTTCAAATCAGTTGTTTATCACTTTTTTTATATTAGAAAGAAATATTTTGGAAATAACTCAAAATGACTTTTCTAATTTGTTGTCCATCATTGGCAACTTTTATAACGTTTGGCTTTTGTACTATTAAGTCTAATTGATTTGATTCTAATATCCTATAAATCTAGCTAACAGTTCTAAGGTCATAATAAGTTTTCATATTCATGATTACAGCATAAAATTAAAGTCCAAATATTTCATTGGACATAAAAATAATTTTAGATAATATTCTGAAACTCTTCTGAAATCTTTTAAAGCAATTTAAATTTGGTTTTTGCAGATGATAACAGAAATATTTAATTTCTTTTTATGGTAACAACATGATAAAGCAAAATCAAGCGTTCGCAATCTATCTTGCCTTAAAAATTAAATAAAACTGTTAATTAATTACTTAATCTATGCCAGCACTTTTTCTAGCAGGCTTCATTATGACACTGCCATTTGCAATAACTTCCATTGAAAATAAACTTTCATCCTTAAAATTAGCAAGAACTTCATCGGTTACGAGAACCATAACATTGTTTGGACCGTACACGAAAATTTTGAAATTTGAATCATCGTGAATGCTTGAGTTGCTTCCAGTCATATGACTCGGTGACGAAGCGTTAAATTTCATTAAAACATTGCTCATTAATCCCGGTATTTTGTAAAGCTTTTGAATGAGTTCCTTTGTAGTTGCAGTATGAAAATAGACAGCGTGGTAAGTATTTGCTTCAAGACTAACGTAGATTTTCAAACGTGGTTGGATTGCCCTTTTAAAAAAAATTAAATAAAAGATTGAAACAAGATTTTAATATAAAATTAACTAACTTGACGTGTAGAATGTTGAACATTCGAATTCCATCTGCAAGTCCACATATTTGAACTAAATCATCTTTTGACATTCTATAGAGAAACAAAGGAAATTTAGTTTTAATATAAACGTTTGAATTTGTCTTTCACCTTAACAAATCACATCCGGAAAAGTGAGAAAAAGTGCTTGCGTAAGATGTCAATCGATGAAATGCCAGCCATTGTGTTAAATGTTGCGGTGTTGAATCTTTCGTTATTGTTATTGAGGTAACATCATCAAACTCATAGTTTTGCGTGGAAACTACACTTTGATCCATCTTGCAAATGCTATTTGTGGAGGAAACATTCCCAATAACAATTGGAGCTGATGAGAAGGTCATAACTGGATTTTGATTTGATGGAACATGAATCGGAGATGAGGGTAAACTTGGTGAAATATTTCGTTTAATACTGTAAGTAATTTAATGGAATTATGAGAAGTGTTGCGTTTTAAATTTTCTTACTGTTCAGGACTGTAGCAGCCAATTGTTGATGTCACTAAACTTTCACTTGATATGTCGTTTAAGATCGTACAATCATAACTTCGTTGATATTTATCTTGTTCTGACACCGGACGCTTTTGAATTCTTTCCCTGTCTTGCTTATGTTTTCTATCAGCGCCTTTTAATTTGAATACCTGCGGAATTACGAAAATCTAGTAAATTAATATTTTTTCACTATTTATAAATATTGACCTTAATTTGACAAGCGGCTGCATGAAGTGGCTTTACTTGTACGTCGTTATTTCCTTCAAAGTACGTTTCTATTTGAATCCTAAAAGGAACGCCTTTCTCGCCACCGTGCTTCTTCGGAGTAAATTCAGTTGAAATGCAATTGACTTTAATGTAAACGCCAACTTCTTTCATGGGATCCCATAAGACCTCAGCAGTGTTCAGTTGAGGTGCCGATTGATTAACATGAATGAGACCACATGACAAAGGGATGTCAATATCCAAGATACGCTCACCAGGTCGACTTGACTGCCAAATGTGCATTTGCTCGCGTTCCATATATTGCAATCGACGTTCATGAAAACATATTTTGATGACACTTTTCATTATTTTACCTCTGCATGTGGACAAATCTCCAAGTTTCTTTAACTTGATCTCATAACTCTGACCTTGATTAAGGTAGGTTAAGGTTTCTTCATTACTTTTCGTCGCTATCGATGTTGCAGCCGCCAAAACATATTGAAAACGAAATTCATCTGACATCATCGTTCGTTTATTTTGACTGCTATTGGAATCATTATTTTCATTGCCATGATTTCCGTTTCCAAACTGATCTAAGAAGTTGGCTAGTCCATTGCTGCTGGATGAACTTCCTGTCGTTCCATGCTGTTCATTGTTTTGTATGTTTGTGTTAACATTTAACATTCCATTCAGACCAACATGATTACGAACGCAGCTGACTGGCGAAATATTTCGACTTTCAAGTGGATATGGCTGATCATTTGGACTGCTTGGTATTTTCAAAGCATCGATATTCCTTGTCGGGGGCGAAGGAACTTCCTGCTTGAACACCGTCAAATTTGAGAAATTTAACAAAGAATCACTAAAGAAATGAAAAAAAAATTATAATTGCTTGTCTTATTTTAATTAAGTTCATCCATTAAAAACAGAAACAAAAAAAATTATCAGCAGATTTATAATGAAAATTGATGTTTCATTTTGCAAAGTAAATTTAAGAGGAAAGAGGAACAAAAACAAAACAAATGACATGAAGAACTGTTAATTAAATCATTTGAAATGTTCACTTAGTGTGTGGATGTTAATTAAACATGCAAATAATCTGACGTGATGAACTTTTAATATTTAGTAGCGACACGTGTACTCACTTGCTATACTGATTGTTATTCATCAACTCGGAACTTAGATTCAAGTCAAGTTCTTCGGGCCACTGAATGCAACCTGCTAACAGTATTAAATATAAAAGAAAAAATTTTGTTACTTCTTTGACTTAGATTCACTGCAAGCTCAATCGCGACTAAAACAGCATCAAATGGAACTTAACACAAACATGTGTTGTGAAAAATTTGAGAATGTAATCTCACAGTGTTGTTTCTTGTTTTATTACTTAATTATTCTGCACAAAATATCAGACGTGTGTCTTCTTTTATCGCTGTGCATGTAACAACAGAAGGCTTTACGTGAATATATTTATTTGTTATTCACTAATCGCCTTTAAGCACATTAAGTCACCTGATTACATTTCAATTGTAATCTATACCTTCGAACTAGGTAGTGAGCTTAAATTACAATTATGTTAGTTATGATTGAGCTTTAGAATTATTTAGAACTTCAAAGCATACGAGATTTTAGTGGCGATAGTAAAGTTGAATTAAATTAAAATAGAAAAATGTTTCATAAAAATATTTAGATCGCGCGCTTTTAAATAATCTCACCCATGTTGAAATTGAAACCACTATTAAGGTGATAACGTTTACGTGGGAACTCCTTGTCCATTTTCGATTAATTTTAATACGTACACACACTCAAACATAAGTTTCAGAAAAATGACGTGTGAAAATCTCTTGCGAAGAAGTGCTGATAACAATTTACGAGTTCACCTTTGACCCTATCGTCAGTTTATCAGCTGTAAACTACTTGCACTGTGGGAGGAACTCATACAGCTGTAATATTCCATTAACAGTCACTAGTGAATCTTAATTGTTGAATTTAAAACTTCTTTTCATTTCTCTGTTTACTGTTTAAGTTTAAATTTATCCACACAAAGGAAGTAAATAAGCTGCCGACTTAGATAGATAGATAATGTAATCTTTTTAAAGCAACTGCCAAATTTTGGTCTTACAATGTCTGCATTTCAGGCATTTTTTTTTCTTTTTTTATTATAAAAGTCCAATGCACCTGAATAATTGTGAATCAACAAAAATCACCAAAACTTCTACTTTGCAAATTAAATTTCACTTTAACTTTTTTTTTTTCATTAACACGTCACGTCGTTAATTTGTTTTATAATTTTACAGTTCCCGATTATAAAAATATTGAGCTGATGCTTTTTTATTCGACAATAAGTCAAATTCAACTAAAGATGAAGTGAAAAAAGAAAAAAAATAATACGGACAAATAATTGAGAATATCAAAAGTTTGCTGGTGGAAATTGATAAGAAATAGTCTCGCAAACTCAACATATACATGCTTAATAAAG